TTCGATGTAGCTTTGTGTATGCGTCCGTGTGGGAATATAGTCCATGTCGCCCAATGATGTCTCCATATCCGGAGTTGTCCATTCCAACCTTGGCATTTCGGTCTCCCATCAGAATGGCCAAGTACTTTGTTGGACATTTCTTCGCGATTGACTGCAGCCTATGGTAGAACTGATCTTTCAAATCTTCATTGTATTCGTTGGTACGTGCATAGCATTGGATGACGTTCATTGAAATGCCTACTTTCTTTGTTTCGAAGGAGGCTTTGATGATCCTTGGTCAGTGAGATTCCAATCCTATGCGTGCCTTTCGTGCTTGCTTGGATAGCATCAGTGCAACTTCTTTTGTGTGTGGAGCATTTTCTTTTTCATGGTCGGAGTATAAAAGCAGCTATCCTGAAGTTAGTCTTTGTTGTTCAACATTCAGTTTGTTTCACTGATTCAAAGCACCTCCAGGTTGTACGTTTTCATTTCTGCAGAAACTTGGATGATTCGCCCGTTCTCCAACAAAAACATGCTGGAACGTATCTAAAGGTGAACTATGAAATCAGTTCAGATACTCAAATTCAAACCATATGAAGAACGCATCAAATCGCTGGATCTTTATCCAGTAGAACGTAGATGCCTTAAAGGTGACCTAATGACTTGCAGCCTCTATAACACTTTTAAGCATCTCCTTAAATACCTACTTCAGTTCAGTCACAATACAAATCTTAATGCTAACACCCATAAATAGAAGACACAACATAGCAGACTGAACTGTAGTCACTTCTTTTACTTCTTGTGAGTAGTCAAAGTCTGGAATTTGCTGCATTCTGAAGTAGTCTAAGCGACTTTTCAAGAGTCTCCAAGAGAAAACTTGAAATATTCTTAAGGACTAAGGACATCATTTAACAATAATCTACTGGTACTTTTCTGTTTAACGTTAAATATAAATAGGATGTTACCTGGAAACATAGGTTTAAAAAATGTTACTACAAAGGCGAACCTGTGAGGCGAATGATTTTATTTCATTAGGAACCCCTTGAACCATTCAAGTGATCTTTTTTACATTGATTCTCACCTAGTTCTTGTTTTGAGGCAATGCATTCCAGCGAGTGACTTGGATAAAATGCTAGGTTGGGGTTTTCGAGTATGTGTTGAAGATGCCACAGGTATTCGGAGTTTGACAACGCTTTAACCAGTAACACCTTCTAATACGAAGCGCACCCACCAAGTAAAATCAAAAGACAGAAGTGAGGAGATCGAAAATATATTTGATAAGCTATCAATATATCGAGGATCGTTTGCATTAATCTGGCTAGCGATTGCGGCAGATGTTGAGCACGACGTTCCCACACGTGATCTGGTGCGGATGCTTGACCGAGCGCCTTCAGCTAGATGAGTCCACTAAAACTGTGGTCAGCATCCAATGTCGAAAACTTACAGAGCTATTTGATTTTGGGGGATTATTTACCGCTACAGTGTAATCTGTTTACGAGGTGCATCTATGATGCAGATTTCAGTGATATTGGGCGAATTCTGCGGTCTGACGTAAAGTTTTCGTAATCATACCCCTATTATTCACATTTTATCACTTAACATAACAATTTCACATTTATTTTTCCCTCTATCTTTTGTATGTCCTGATCTCTCTTTTTCGTGTTTACTAGGTAAGCAAAACTCAAAACAATGAAACGACACCGTAAATGAAGTTTGGTTGCGATTGTTGTCAGATTTCTAACTACGTTATTATGTCTTGGCATCAAGTAACTAATTATGGTATACTATGAGGAAGGATACTGATGCCTACTTGTTGATCATTCCATGGGAATCGATGCACATTTGAGGTAAATTACTACCATACTACAAATTGTTCTCCTGTAGATGATATATTCCAGGTATGCTGCTCGAGTACTTTAATTATACCTACTAACAGTTAATTTTGAACCTAAATTGTCATTGATTGATATGTAATACAAGACGAAGTCATAATCACCATTTGTTTTGTAAATGGAAGCAACAACGATTACCATACTACATACATTTTAGAGAAATACACGGTTAAATGAAGTAAGTGTTGTATAATCTAGGTGGATTCAGTTATTAATAAAGCGGAATTAGGAGATCCATATAAGGGAGTACGTGAAAAACAAATAGCACTATCAGAGTCAGCACAGCTAAGCAAAGATCTTCAGTGACCTACTTTTATCAACAGAATGCGATTGGTGTAATGGAAACAATTACTAATATAACCATTTGTATCAGTGATTGTTTCACTGTAATTGTTTGTTTAACTGCACCAAAAACATTCTTCCTTCCTTTGATTGTGACCTTGTACGCGCTTACGTTTGCTCGGTGAATCCGCTCGTACTCCTTGGCACGATCTCGGTATTCTTTCGATACCACGAGATCGCCAACAAATACATCCCGACTACAGCCATCATTTGCCTTCTGATATTGGCCTACGGGGATCCTATTGGTTATCTGGCACGCAGCCTTCTTGTAGTGGTATTCATGGTCAACCGCGACTTGACGCCGCGTTACAGATCTCCACAATCACAATTGGATGATCACTGGGTGGTGATCGATGTCATGTTTGTCAAGTCCTTATTAGTGCAGATCGAATGCTATCGACCATGTTGCAATGTGGCCACCAGTCTAGGTAACTCGACACTAATTAAAAACTTAAATTGTCGCTGATTGATGTGTAATACAAGACGAAGCCATAAACACTAAGTGAAGGAAGTCCTGTGTAAAGCAATCAATTTATTAGGTGGAATTAGGAGATTTATATAAGGGAGTACGTAAAAAACAAGTAGCACTATCAGAGACAGCAAAGGTCAAGTAAGGATCACTACAATTCATGGTATTGTTAAATTATCTTGTTGAATGAGCGGTGAACGTAGCGGTAATATCTCATTACACAGTAGTCAGTCTTTGGTAATAAAGATAGGAGGTCAGTTGATCTATATTATTCGATCCCGTTTGTAGCACAGTGAAGATCCTATCTTGCCCTGAAGGCGCCGACATTACGTGTTCTGTCAGGTAATCTCAGTAATTCACTACTCTGTTCGAGGAACGGGACTGCAGACGTAAACTATTTGATCTCAATTTCTGAGCTTTCTTGGATTGTCCTCTTAGATGGCCATTCCTAGGTGCATGGTAAACATAAGATATGTTAATTGCAAGATCATCGTGAGGCATACGTCAAGACAGTATTAGAATAACCCTCCAAGCATGAAAGGCTTTTCCAAAAACCACATATTTCCTCGTCTGAAGATCATTTTCTTAGTTGAGAGTGGCCATTCTAATAATTTTTAATATTCATTAGAAATGCTATCCAATTTACCTTTATTGTAATAGATCACATGAATGTAGGAAATGCAAATTATTTAGTTGCCACTTGTAACCTAGAGATGTGACGGATATTCGATAAGTCGCCAGTATGTTTTAAACTGCTTCGTGCAGTCTGTCGTTAGAATTTGTCGAAAGAAACACTTACATCTGCGTCAGTATCGACGAGACATGGAACTTTCGTCGTTACGTCAGTGATGTATAACAGATGGCTATATTCGCCGGCTATAGTTGCCGTTAACGCGTGACGGATGGGAAACTTTCCCAAACGTTTGTCGTGACAAGTAAAGCAGTCTAAGCAGGCCGTCGTCATAGGTTCGCGGCAACATGTTTGTTGTTGAGCCATGTTGTAGCGCAATGTTGTGGAAGTGACTGTGTAACACCTGTCAATCGGTTATTTCCCCATGCTTGGTAGTGTCATAAGGTTTCGAAACATTGCTAGCAAACACACTAGGTGTGACGTAGCTGCTGAAACTACACAGCAGTGCCTTCATCACTGCGAGAAATTGTGCACGTGAGTCTGTCACGTCGAGATCGTGGAAGCCAGATTCTGTGTGATAGAACCAGGCTTCTATATTGTCGACCACAATGAAATGAGCTGAAAGGCGGGAGGCGAAAAAGGTTCGATCGAAAATAATTTAGGTGATTTTCAGTTACGATGACAATATAGTATAACTATGTGTTAGAATGGCCACCGAGAAGCCACTCACGTACGTAGTCGATTTACCGACTTATCGATCAGATGTTTAAATATTTAAAATGGCAGTCGATTGAATAAGTTATCGATTGGTGTTTAAAAAACTTCCATGGCAATATTAATCATATATATAATTGTATAAATACGCGTGTTTTATTGTATATTTTGATTCTTCTCAAATAAGTGCTCTCAAACGTCTTTCGTCTTCTTACTTGCGAGGCTTTGGAGGTTCAAACGTTCGAGTGTCATCGGTTATATAGTGTTCGTGCGTATTCAAGTAGAGAACATAACACTATGGGTGAGAAACAAATCAGAAAAACTGCAAACGATATCACATTATGCAAACATTTAAATTAGAAAATGATATTTAATATCCCAATGAGGAATAAACTCACAGTTTACGCACTGATGTACCAGATCTCGTCAGGTTCACCTCCAAAGTTGTCGCAAGTATTCGGAGTTTGAACACGACTTTACCAGTAAAAGCTTTGTGTTGAAAGCATGCCAACCCACTCAAATCAGAAGACAGATGTGAGGGAGTTCGAAAATATATTTGAGAGGCCAACTGTATGTTGAGGAACGTTTGTTCTAAGCTGGCTAGTAGTTGAAAGGGATGTGTAGCACGACATATCCACTCGTGATTTGGTGCGGATGCGTGGCCGAGAGCCTTTAGCTAGGTGAGTTCACTAAAACTAACGCAGTCGGCATCAAATTTCGAAGACTTACAGAGCTACTGATTTTGGAGATTAATTTACCGCTACAAGTACCAAATTGTATAATTTTATAAATGATTTAATTCAGTTCATAATTTTGCTCTTAGGAACATCAACACTTTCTATGGAAGTGTGCTTTGAATGTTGTCATGTGGATTTATTGTGGTCATAGACAATATGTATTTAACTCATTCTTCTGGCACTAGTGTAAGTTGTTTAAATGACTATCATTTAGAATGTATTGAGTTGAGCGGTATGTTTATCTGTTATTGTTGTATTCTAATTGAGCCATGGACTCACACTTTCTCGTATCTTTTCTATTCCAGATTCTTATACGGTGCTGTGCATACTCTTCCAACACACAACATACCTCCAAGCTAGACGTAAACTTATTAAAGGCTCAAGGTTTGTTTGGTGTTTATGTCCCTGGTTAATGAACATTTTTGATTTCCTTCATCACTACGGTTTGTTGGTTTCATCATTGTTGTTGTTTAGTTGTAACAAATGGACTATAGCTCTCACTCATCCAGTTTCATGTGATTCGTTTAGTAGGTTGCGTCTACAAAACTAGTATTCATTTGTGACTAGGATTAAACAGTGGCAACTGCAGTGACAGTGAATGATCAAGCCGAAAGTAAAAAGAGGATAAATAATTGTAAACAAATGGATGACGTATTCTGTGTACCGTCTCGACTTTCGTGATTGTCTTCCTTAGCCCCATTGACCCATTTTTCTGAATAACTATCGTCATAAGACCAAGCTTTCGTGAAAAACTTCGCTTTTCTCTATTGTATTGTTAGCTAATTGGGAAGTGTAATCGCTCGTCAGGATTCACTGGTTAAAGTAAGCCAAACTAATAAACTTAGGAAACTTATCAACTGCTGTGGAAACGCTACCTGGTTATAAAACAATTAATAATAAGCGGTAAAATTGTCATGGATCGGTGCTTTCGTTATGATAACCACCCGCGGTTTGTATTCTCTTGGAAAATGTCTCCGTTTCTTAATCTCTATTCTTATGAGTACTTTTACTACAGTAACACCTGGGATTTGCTCTGACAATCGTCGCACTTGGTAAATAGGATATGACAACTTAGACCTGTGTATGTGTGCCATGTTCTACATTGTGTGTGCCTAACTGACTGAAAGTTAACACATTTGCGTAAATCACACGAGCTTAAATCATATGGGAACATTCACGGTAGTTGGAATTTAGCTACAGGAATTGATCACAATACGGTGGTTCTTATGACACGAACTTCCATACGTATCGTGTTTGTAGTTTACTTTACTTCGTTATGCCACATGCAGTTGTATTGCTGTAAGTTTCCTATAATCGTGTGTTATATAACCTAAGCAAATTATTATTTATCCAAAAATTGTTCTCCTGTAGATGATATATTCCAGGTATGCTGCTCGAGTACTTTAATTATACCTACTAACAGTTAATTTTGAACCTAAATTGTCATTGATTGATATGTAATACAAGACGAAGTCATAATCACCATTTGTTTTGTAAATGGAAGCAACAACGATTACCATACTACATACATTTTAGAGAAATACACGGTTAAATGAAGTAAGTGTTGTATAATCTAGGTGGATTCAGTTATTAATAAAGCGGAATTAGGAGATCCATATAAGGGAGTACGTGAAAAACAAATAGCACTATCAGAGTCAGCACAGCTAAGCAAAGATCTTCAGTGACCTACTTTTATCAACAGAATGCGATTGGTGTAATGGAAACAATTACTAATATAACCATTTGTATCAGTGATTGTTTCACTGTAATTGTTTGTTTAACTGCACCAAAAACATTCTTCCTTCCTTTGATTGTGACCTTGTACGCGCTTACGTTTGCTCGGTGAATCCGCTCGTACTCCTTGGCACGATCTCGGTATTCTTTCGATACCACGAGATCGCCAACAAATACATCCCGACTACAGCCATCATTTGCCTTCTGATATTGGCCTACGGGGATCCTATTGGTTATCTGGCACGCAGCCTTCTTGTAGTGGTATTCATGGTCAACCGCGACTTGACGCCGCGTTACAGATCTCCACAATCACAATTGGATGATCACTGGGTGGTGATCGATGTCATGTTTGTCAAGTCCTTATTAGTGCAGATCGAATGCTATCGACCATGTTGCAATGTGGCCACCAGTCTAGGTAACTCGACACTAATTAAAAACTTAAATTGTCGCTGATTGATGTGTAATACAAGACGAAGCCATAAACACTAAGTGAAGGAAGTCCTGTGTAAAGCAATCAATTTATTAGGTGGAATTAGGAGATTTATATAAGGGAGTACGTAAAAAACAAGTAGCACTATCAGAGACAGCAAAGGTCAAGTAAGGATCACTACAATTCATGGTATTGTTAAATTATCTTGTTGAATGAGCGGTGAACGTAGCGGTAATATCTCATTACACAGTAGTCAGTCTTTGGTAATAAAGATAGGAGGTCAGTTGATCTATATTATTCGATCCCGTTTGTAGCACAGTGAAGATCCTATCTTGCCCTGAAGGCGCCGACATTACGTGTTCTGTCAGGTAATCTCAGTAATTCACTACTCTGTTCGAGGAACGGGACTGCAGACGTAAACTATTTGATCTCAATTTCTGAGCTTTCTTGGATTGTCCTCTTAGATGGCCATTCCTAGGTGCATGGTAAACATAAGATATGTTAATTGCAAGATCATCGTGAGGCATACGTCAAGACAGTATTAGAATAACCCTCCAAGCATGAAAGGCTTTTCCAAAAACCACATATTTCCTCGTCTGAAGATCATTTTCTTAGTTGAGAGTGGCCATTCTAATAATTTTTAATATTCATTAGAAATGCTATCCAATTTACCTTTATTGTAATAGATCACATGAATGTAGGAAATGCAAATTATTTAGTTGCCACTTGTAACCTAGAGATGTGACGGATATTCGATAAGTCGCCAGTATGTTTTAAACTGCTTCGTGCAGTCTGTCGTTAGAATTTGTCGAAAGAAACACTTACATCTGCGTCAGTATCGACGAGACATGGAACTTTCGTCGTTACGTCAGTGATGTATAACAGATGGCTATATTCGCCGGCTATAGTTGCCGTTAACGCGTGACGGATGGGAAACTTTCCCAAACGTTTGTCGTGACAAGTAAAGCAGTCTAAGCAGGCCGTCGTCATAGGTTCGCGGCAACATGTTTGTTGTTGAGCCATGTTGTAGCGCAATGTTGTGGAAGTGACTGTGTAACACCTGTCAATCGGTTATTTCCCCATGCTTGGTAGTGTCATAAGGTTTCGAAACATTGCTAGCAAACACACTAGGTGTGACGTAGCTGCTGAAACTACACAGCAGTGCCTTCATCACTGCGAGAAATTGTGCACGTGAGTCTGTCACGTCGAGATCGTGGAAGCCAGATTCTGTGTGATAGAACCAGGCTTCTATATTGTCGACCACAATGAAATGAGCTGAAAGGCGGGAGGCGAAAAAGGTTCGATCGAAAATAATTTAGGTGATTTTCAGTTACGATGACAATATAGTATAACTATGTGTTAGAATGGCCACCGAGAAGCCACTCACGTACGTAGTCGATTTACCGACTTATCGATCAGATGTTTAAATATTTAAAATGGCAGTCGATTGAATAAGTTATCGATTGGTGTTTAAAAAACTTCCATGGCAATATTAATCATATATATAATTGTATAAATACGCGTGTTTTATTGTATATTTTGATTCTTCTCAAATAAGTGCTCTCAAACGTCTTTCGTCTTCTTACTTGCGAGGCTTTGGAGGTTCAAACGTTCGAGTGTCATCGGTTATATAGTGTTCGTGCGTATTCAAGTAGAGAACATAACACTATGGGTGAGAAACAAATCAGAAAAACTGCAAACGATATCACATTATGCAAACATTTAAATTAGAAAATGATATTTAATATCCCAATGAGGAATAAACTCACAGTTTACGCACTGATGTACCAGATCTCGTCAGGTTCACCTCCAAAGTTGTCGCAAGTATTCGGAGTTTGAACACGACTTTACCAGTAAAAGCTTTGTGTTGAAAGCATGCCAACCCACTCAAATCAGAAGACAGATGTGAGGGAGTTCGAAAATATATTTGAGAGGCCAACTGTATGTTGAGGAACGTTTGTTCTAAGCTGGCTAGTAGTTGAAAGGGATGTGTAGCACGACATATCCACTCGTGATTTGGTGCGGATGCGTGGCCGAGAGCCTTTAGCTAGGTGAGTTCACTAAAACTAACGCAGTCGGCATCAAATTTCGAAGACTTACAGAGCTACTGATTTTGGAGATTAATTTACCGCTACAAGTACCAAATTGTATAATTTTATAAATGATTTAATTCAGTTCATAATTTTGCTCTTAGGAACATCAACACTTTCTATGGAAGTGTGCTTTGAATGTTGTCATGTGGATTTATTGTGGTCATAGACAATATGTATTTAACTCATTCTTCTGGCACTAGTGTAAGTTGTTTAAATGACTATCATTTAGAATGTATTGAGTTGAGCGGTATGTTTATCTGTTATTGTTGTATTCTAATTGAGCCATGGACTCACACTTTCTCGTATCTTTTCTATTCCAGATTCTTATACGGTGCTGTGCATACTCTTCCAACACACAACATACCTCCAAGCTAGACGTAAACTTATTAAAGGCTCAAGGTTTGTTTGGTGTTTATGTCCCTGGTTAATGAACATTTTTGATTTCCTTCATCACTACGGTTTGTTGGTTTCATCATTGTTGTTGTTTAGTTGTAACAAATGGACTATAGCTCTCACTCATCCAGTTTCATGTGATTCGTTTAGTAGGTTGCGTCTACAAAACTAGTATTCATTTGTGACTAGGATTAAACAGTGGCAACTGCAGTGACAGTGAATGATCAAGCCGAAAGTAAAAAGAGGATAAATAATTGTAAACAAATGGATGACGTATTCTGTGTACCGTCTCGACTTTCGTGATTGTCTTCCTTAGCCCCATTGACCCATTTTTCTGAATAACTATCGTCATAAGACCAAGCTTTCGTGAAAAACTTCGCTTTTCTCTATTGTATTGTTAGCTAATTGGGAAGTGTAATCGCTCGTCAGGATTCACTGGTTAAAGTAAGCCAAACTAATAAACTTAGGAAACTTATCAACTGCTGTGGAAACGCTACCTGGTTATAAAACAATTAATAATAAGCGGTAAAATTGTCATGGATCGGTGCTTTCGTTATGATAACCACCCGCGGTTTGTATTCTCTTGGAAAATGTCTCCGTTTCTTAATCTCTATTCTTATGAGTACTTTTACTACAGTAACACCTGGGATTTGCTCTGACAATCGTCGCACTTGGTAAATAGGATATGACAACTTAGACCTGTGTATGTGTGCCATGTTCTACATTGTGTGTGCCTAACTGACTGAAAGTTAACACATTTGCGTAAATCACACGAGCTTAAATCATATGGGAACATTCACGGTAGTTGGAATTTAGCTACAGGAATTGATCACAATACGGTGGTTCTTATGACACGAACTTCCATACGTATCGTGTTTGTAGTTTACTTTACTTCGTTATGCCACATGCAGTTGTATTGCTGTAAGTTTCCTATAATCGTGTGTTATATAACCTAAGCAAATTATTATTTATCCAAAAATTCATCTTAGTACTACTTTAATTTCAATCACTTGCAGATGTCATCGAATGAAATATTCTCGTTTCCAGTCACTGTAACGTTCACCATTTGTATATCTATCATTCAGATACTTGATGGTCCCGATGGTGAGGAGAATTTCGAGATGGCGCGTGCTCGTATATGGCAGTTAAGTTGCAAGTCTGGTTGGAGTTTCGATCGACTTGTTGCTGATTTAACTCCATCTAGTCATTGTGAGCTAACGTTTGAGATGATTCATATGGTGTCGTATGTTAGAAAAGGTTAGGTTATTCTGATTTTTCTATTCTTTCAATCAGTTGCTCCGCCTGGAATGCTAAGTGTTTTTCCGTCACCATTTCAAAGTGCCGAGTCATGGATCAGGGACAGATGGATTTTTCGAGAGGTATATTTGATAGCTAACTCATTTGTGCTCAGAACAATCCAGCTAAATCCATGGAACATACTTTACCACTTAAAAAGGGATTAAGGTTAGCGTATGGTTGTTTGTCATATTTTGCTTCATTTTCTAGAGATCTCGACCACCTAGTTACCTTTTACTGTAGCAGGTACCGTAGGACATTCTGAGGGCAACTACGTAGGCAAGTAGTTGCACATTCACGAAAAAACATTTGAAATTTCAACAAAAGAGGAAGTTGTACCAAAAATTTTATGTAGGTTGTCCGGTTCAAACCACTTATGCCACAAAACATTTCCGTATTTCAAGCACTATTTTTTCTCACTGAAGAATTTCAATTGAAAAATTTTATCTACTAGTGCCACATCAGTTCATATTATACGGTGTTTAAAGCCTGTGACTATCTTGCATGAAATCTGCTTCGTACACTGTGAAGTAGGTTATGTTGGGTATTAGTTGTTGATTTCAAGGTACATCTCAGTTTAGGCTTGATATTTTCACAAAGCGAATTATGGGTTCAAAGCCGTTTCGTAAACCTGACTCTTTACAGCTAGACTAAATCACGACGAGAGCAAGGATGGATGAGATCGACATAAGCCACTCTGGCTCTCATTATGTGTGAACTGTTCTCATCAGTCACGTCACCATTAGCATTCACGCAGCTACCCAAATGCGCGAACGTCTTGACTACTATCTACTCACTACCAAAATTAAATGCAGGTTCTGTGGTCTGCCAGTCTTGTAAAAGTACTTCGTATTTTGAATGTGCAAACTATATGCTATACTTACGGACACTAATTTCCAACTGTTTAGGTGCGGATTGCATGGCTTAGATATCATCACATCGTAAGACAATATCATTTGCACATTCGAGGTCGAAAAGCATCTATCCAGGTGACAGATCCACACCACTATTATCTATATCCATCAGAGCTGCTTCCCAACGTTATCGGTAGGAAGTATTACTATCTATTATTTATTTGAAAACAAATATTGGTACAAGAGGGCATCAAGTATATATACGCCACACAAGACAATGAGAATGGGAAGAGAAAAAAAGAAGGTAAGGAGCGTAGAAGAAAAAAAGAACAATGATGACTAGATTAGTGTAAGGTATTGCAACAACAATAATAATAATGGGGGAACGGGAAGGTACAACCAGAAGAAATCTTTCAGTTAAGGAAGATACAACCACTTTATGAAGAAAGTAAAGAAGGTTACAGCAGGATCGCCACTGGCTTATATTCTGAGCCATATCTGATAACGTCTCTAGCCACTGTGTCGCACTATCTCTCGAATCCCAGCCAGGGAGTCGTGAAGGATTAGTGGGATTACACAACCCTGCCTAACTCCACGGCTGGTTCAGCAGATTGGAGAGAGGTGGTTGTTTTCTCTCTTTGTCTGGACCTTCAGAATGTTAATTATGTATCGCATACACTATTAGTGTCTTGTTGTACCAAATGTTTTGCTTAGCACGTAGGAAATAAATGAGCCAGTGTGAACTACAAGAACCATTTTATTAGTTAGTATATTTTTTGTTTAAAGTAGACGTTTTCATCACCTATCACATGTTGTATTTGTTTGTTGTTCAGAATCGCTGGTCCTGTATCTCCTTCGGACCGCGCCTTTAATAACGAAGAACTGAAAAATAGGAAAGTGATGAAAGTTGACCAGGATTCGACTTCGACAGTGTCAGTACCTACCGTACACAGAGCCGATCGTTCACTCCCTGGATTTCAAACTATTTTACAGTGTGGAAAGACACTTGACGATGATACTTTGTTGGGGAAAACTGTAAGTAATTTTCGATGTCCATGCATAATTATGAGTATGTTACATGCTTTTGCCATTTGTAAATGGTTCACTGAAAGGCATTGATTATGTAACGTTTCATTGTGTTCGTAATTGTGCATGTGGCAACTAGTCAAATATATTTGTAAAGGAAATAACGTAAGGATCAATGTTTGGATCCGTTTATTTAACTACGCCGCGACTTTTGTAATGAAATGAGGTGGATTAGTCGACACTGACCATGGAAGACAAAAATGTCTGATTGATATCGCTGGGGCACTAGATCAGCTGAATCGTTCCTCCTCAACAACTTCACTCCCTATCACTAGTTCGGGTGCCGATGCAACCCAATCCTGAAGCAACATTTTGCATTTCGAGGGAGGAAATCGCATGCCGAACATGCCTGCATTTTTGCTTATAGTGGTCAGCAGACTCTGCATTTTGTCAGCGTCTTCACCAAATAGAACTATGTCATCGGCATATTCTAAGTCAACAAGTGAATCTCCCGGTAAAAGTTCAACTCCTGGAAATTTAGATGAGGAAAGTGTAATTTCTAAAAGCACGTCAATGATAAAGTTAAACAAGAATGGAGAGAATGGACAGCCCTGACGAACACCACTTGAGGTAATCAGCTCTGATGACAGTTCGCCATAAGCTCTCACTCGACCAGTTGTGTTCGAGTAGAGAGCCTTTATAAGGTTAATGTACTTCTTTGGTACTCCTTTCAGTGACAAACACTGCCATAGAACCTCACGATCAACAGAGTCAAATGCCGCCTTAAGGTCGAGAAATACAATCATTGTGGGGCGTCTGAATGTGTGTCTATGTTCTAGAACCTGACGTAGTGTGAATATTTGGTCAATGCAACCACGTCCAGGTCGAAAACCAGCCTGGTTTTCTCTAGTCTGCATTTCACGAGCTTTGGTTAGACGTCGAAGTATTATTGAAGCTAATATTTTAGACACTATATTAGTCAAACTAATTCTTCTGTGATTGTCACAAGAAGACTTTTGTCCTTTCTTATAGACTGGCACAATCAGTGATTGAGACCAGTCAGATGGGATTACGTCCAGTTCCCAGATTCTACCTAAGACCTCAGTCAATCTCGCTGCTAATACTGGACCGCCATCCTTAAAAATCTCAGGGGTAAACCTGTCAGGGCCTGCTGCTCTCCCTCGCTTTAGATTACCTATAGCTTTTTCAACTTCGTAAAGAGTCGGAGGATTCACATTAATTTGCCATTCAAGTAGATTGGAGATCGTGGGAAACCGAAGTGTGGCTGAAGGCCAGTTGAACTGATCCCTAAAGTGTTCTGCCCATCGATCCAGTCTGCTGGACTGAGAATGTATAATATGTCCATCTTTTTCGGAGATAGTTTCGCTAAGAGTTGGGTTCCTAATCCCGGTTTCCTTAACGAGTCTGAACAGTTGCCTGCTGTTACCTATTGCCACTGCCTTTTCCATATCTCTTGCTTTCGCTACCCACCACTGTTCACGATCTTTGCGTAGGCTTCTAGTCAGCTTACGCTTAAGCTGACTCCGCTCTTCGTTATGTCCAGAGCCAGATGGAATGAAATTTTGAGCATCTATCAGTGCGGTAGACGCTGCTGAGATCCAGTGTTTCTCCCTAACCTTATGATTTACCGTGCTTGCAGACATCACTGCTGTTTCTACAGCTTTTCGAATGTCATTCCACGCTGCCTCGGGGTGGGCATCAGTTACATAGCTGCCTAACTGTTTTTCTAGATGTTCCTGAAATATACTCTTAGCTTGACTATCATTAAGTAGGACCCTAATAGGGTTCCTTGCAGAGTCTTTCCTACGTCCAGTAAGACGTAGACAGATACGCGCTCGCACTAGAGCATGATCTGAGTCTAAGCATGTGCTCCAGAATGAGCGACAGTCTTCTATCGAGCCCCTCCATCGGTGGCTGATAGCGATGTGATCTATTTGGGTCCAACGTTGGGACGAATTATGGGGTCTCCATGTTAAAAGATGTTTTTCCTTATGCTTAAAGTTAGTATTTGAAAGAAACAGGCGGTTATCTGAGCATAGCTGCAACAGACGGTCACCGTTATCTGTTCTTTGAGCCGCGACACCATAAGATCCACCCAGGTGTCTCTCCCTTTCGCTTAGTTTACCTACTTGAGCATTAAAGTCACCAGCCACTATTACTACATCTGAACGCCTAGCTTTTCGGAGAAGGTCGGAAAGCTTTCTGTAAAACTCATCTTTTACATCATCTGAGCTGCAGTCAGTGGGAGAGTAGGCAGAGACGACGAAGAGGCAACGACGAGTGTCCCTATCTTTCCGAGTCCTTACTGTTCCGTTTAGTCGGACAGCGCACAAACGACTGTCTGCTGGGATCCAGTCTAAGAGAGCTAGTTCTGCCCTAGGACTCAATGCTATACTTATGCCAGCGAGGCCACGGGAAGCAGCATCAGGGCTTCCAGATACACGAAGCGTAAATCGAGTTGGTTCGTTACTTTCACATGGTGAAGTCAAATGAATGACACTACTAGGATCCTGTATGCGCGTTTCGGAGACGCAGCACACATCGATGGGGCGAGATCATAAAGTCCTAGCTAAGGAAGCCTGTTGTCCTATTTGGCACAGTGTTCGGACGTTGAAAGCTCCTATGTGTAGTTTAGAGCGTGGTTTCAGGAGACCAGGAATAACGTTCCGCGTACTCGAATCGTTTGCACTAGTGGGGCGAGGTGATAAAGGGACGTAAGAAGGGTTAGTCGTGGAGATAAGAGAGTTATTAGGAGGTTTAGGAAGGATTTGAATGTGACCAACGTGGTCTCGTGTGCTGTTACGGTTATGAGGGCCGATGTCACTTCCCGGCTGCCCACACCGTGGGAGGGTATTTCTTGAGGAACCTGAAAAGAAAATCGGATTAGCGTTGGTCTTAACGACCTGGGTGCGTGACCGCAGAGCCCAAGGGACAACTGCTTGAGGGCGGTCGCGCACAGCCTTTTTGTGGGAGGTTTTTAATGTGTTAGCTCCGTTCTTCAAAGGGCTTTGCCGCCGGAGATGGAAATCTGTGGGGTAAGGTGAGGTGTGACATTTTTAGGGTCGACCTTTTCTAACCCCTTCCTTCCTTGTGAGAAGGCAGTATCGCTGTAGATGCTGGTTGTACGAGGGAAACACCTTACTGCTGTCACACCTCTGTACAGTCAGCAGTACGACTTCGCCCTCAGACCTTGAGTTGCTGCTTTTAGTCTTACCGTTCTCCAATCGACCTGTCTGGCATGGTAGAACCTGCAGGAACATGTGTTCCAGCCAATATAGCTCGGTTGGGTCATCACGATAGGCAAGCCCGACCACCACGTCAAGGTAGCAGCTACGGTCAGGATTCGTCTTTAATAAGTCGATTACTTACGGCTCACAACTAAAAGACATTTGATAGCAAACATTTTCTATACAGTTGTACACGCAATCTTGAAATGGGAGTTCGTAATGTTTGATAACCATCTTTATTCAAAGAATGGCTAGTTATTCTGAATTAGTGTAGCATTACATCCTATTTACCGTAGAAAAAACACTGATTAACTTCAACATTAATGATGGTATAAAATTAATGGTTTTACGAAAATCCTGCTTGACTTGTTTACCAGCAATATTGTTTCAGTTGGTCAGTGATCGGTAATAATTATTGTGTTTCAAGAGTATCAGACTAATAAACTGTGCGAAATAAATATAAGACGAGGCTAATCCCAGCAATAAATACAAGGGTATGAGAATCAAACAAAGGATAAAGCAATTTGGGGGTGTGTTCTTATGTGAATAGGCCCCAAAGATTCCTTATTGACCAGTCACTTTGTGTACAGGTTTTTTTAGTGACCAAGTATGTTGCCATGTTGGTAGGTGTAGACTACCTGGTTGGGGTCCGCGAGACAATAGCAACAGATGGTTAGAGATCTTGAATGACATGGCTAGAAATAGTTTGGAATGGCGCAGGTGCATCCACTCTTTGTGTTCTCCCAAACTCAAATCTTCTGAATTCTCCATGTCCTTTATTATCTTCCCAAATATATTCCACTGGACTATACTCCTTAAACAACGTCATCAAACTTTAACGTTTCCTGTCACTACTTATACTTTCACTACTCTGCCACTACGGGATTTGAGACGATAACTGAATCTCTGTGCTAATGTGGTATGGCAACTCGAACTGATGTACGTACGTACGAAGTTCCACGTTGTTACTGACTGATGTTGACTAAATTTCATAAGGCACACAGGCAACTATTGTGGGATAGGTCTACTTCCAATTGCGTCCAAACTATTGGCTTCCGTCACGCTTCACAGATTGTTCAAAACGTGAGAAAGATTAACTCGCGACGAGCAGGCTGGGTTTCGTTCCGGTCGAGGATGTATTGGTCATATCTTCACCCTCCGCCAAATGTTAGAACACCGTCATACTTATCACAGGCTAACAATCGTAGTATTTCTTGACATTAGGGTCGTCTTCGATTCGTTGGACAGGACTGTTCTCTGGGGTTGTCTATTGAAGAAGGGTGTGGCTGGTAAGTTTATTAACATCTTAAAAGCCCTATTTACTAACTTCTCAGTTAGAGTAATGGCATACGACCACCTCTTTCCATTTTTTCTTTTCAAGTAGTGGAGTTAAACAGTGTTGCCCAATCTCATCATTCCTCTTCAACTTTGCTATTTATGACGTTCTGTATGGATGGATGTAGGCAATGGTGGTGTGGATCTCTTGCCTGAAGAAAGACTTTCCGACCTTGAGTATGCGAATGATATTGGCTTGCTGTGCAGTGACATCCAAGCCATACAATCTGCACTTAATTAGTTGGCAATGAGTGTCCGTAGGTACGGTATGTGTTTTGCACCCTCGAAGTACATAGTACTTTTACAAGACTGTCAGGACACTGGTCCTGAACTTAAACTGGTAGCGAGCGGATAGAAATAGTAGAGAAGGTAGACGATTCTCTGTGTTTGGTCAATTCAATTGCTGTTACTATTTTGAAACATCGACCTCGATCTGCTGGACATGTTCTACGAATGTCGTTCCAGAAAATTCCACATCGTACACTATTTGCCGACGGTAGAACTGGTTGGAAAAAATGGGAGAGGTGGTCAGTGTATGACATGGTGTCGTGGTATGAAAGAAAGCTGCACAGGATTGGCTTCTGTTGGTCCTTCACGACTCCGTTGTTGGGGTCCGAGAGATGGTGCAACACAGTGGCTAGAGACGTTATCAGATAGAAGCCAGTGGCGATTGTGCTGTAACTTTCTTTTACCTTCTCATAAAAATTGGATGTGACTTTAACTGGGAGAATTCTTTCTGATAGTACCTTTGCTAACCGAACTACCTCTCATTATTATTACTATTTCACCATCATATACTAATTTATGTTCGTTCTTGTTCCACTTTTTCTCATACTCACTTTACATTCTCTATCTCTTCACATTCTCATTGTTATTGTGTGGCGCATATGTATTTGGTGCTCCTTTGTACCAATATTTATTTGTTCAAATAAATAAATATAGTATAGCATAAGCAGAGAGTAGTTTCTGGTGATCTCTTTATTGTCATCTTCAGTGATGTTAGTTTCGTTCTTATTAGCTTCGGTAACTGTTTACCTGACCGATTAATTATGTAATGGTTATGTAGCAACAAGCAGGTTCGGGCAGTTTTGAAATGTTCTAATTCTCTGTGGCTTGTACATATATAAGAGAACAAAAGGTAGTTGTTTGTTTTAATTTTGTCCATGTTAATTTTGTTTACCGAATTGACATCGGTTGTTCCTCATCTTATTTTAGGACACAGATACGTCTTATGAGTATCCTAGCTTATCACTAATTCATACGTCGAATTCACAGCAAGAAACCTTGCATTATCCGTCTGACTCACCTCCGTATATGCTTGTTCAGAGATCAAGAGAATCACTGGAGAAAGATTATAAGTCGTCTTCAAAACAGATTTCTACTAGAGGTTCTCTTAAAAGTGATGGTGGTTCCAAACGAAATAATAGTGGACATTTTCTTGTGGATAGTGAAAAAAATCGAAACCTGGTAACAACGTTATTGTGTCAGAAACTTTATGGTGTATAAACCTTTGTATATGCTTTATGTTTTAATAAGTTGATATATTGTTGTAAAATGATTTAATCTACAAATAATCACATTGGTTTATGTTGGCATATTTCGATTAATTTTATTGGACAAGCTCCTCGACTCTCCATGAAGTATAAATTTTGTAGTGGCTTCGTACACGCGTACGTCAATTTCTTCTTATTAGTATGGATAATAGTAATCTGACAGGATGTTTCAAATTAATTATTTTAATCCTGCCTATAATTCTGTACTTAGTCTCAGAATGAGTTGTGATCTGGTTGTTTATGTATGTTATTTGTATGCTTTGTTTGTGTGTAGGTCTGGTCATTGTTTATTTTATTCCACTATCTTTTCGGGATTGTATGAACTAATTTAAAGACTTAATTTGATCTGGCTAGCAATAGCCGGAATTCACGCTACACACAGTAATTTCCTGTCACTGTTTGTTTACCGATATGCACTCTTGAAACATGTGTATCAGAATATTTTCTATTCAACTTTAAAATTTCACTTTGATGATGCTGATAGAGGGGTATGTTAAACTTGCGATCACATATTTCGTTGGGGTCGGATAAGTAGTATAAATCAGCGAGCCCAACTCAAAAAATCGTAACCATCTTTTTGAAACTTTGAAGTTTACCGCTTACTACTAAAATACTTTACGAAAGTATTTAACATGATCAGATCACAACATGGAGTAAATCGGAGAAGTCATCGATTACTGATTAATGTTTTTAGTAAGGTTGGGTTGATCTTTATCGCCCAAAACTGTGTGAAATTCCTTAATAATATGCTCTCCGAAGTGGTAGAAATCGATGGTTCGAAACCGTAAATATGTATAGAATTCATCAATCACAAACGGATTAATTTTACGTTGCTCACTAAATCTTGAATGTGTAATTCAGCATAGTTAAATTTGCTTTTTGTTTTATCGTCATTCCGTTATTTCTTCATTTTTTTAGAAGTCTAGTACTTTTATGAATTAGTGTAATTCAAACCTCAAATTAGTGTATCTATTTATTGATAGTTTTCAGTAAAATTCACAATTATTTTCAACGCAATATTTGTTTGTTCCCAGTTAGTAGTAATATCGCTTTTTTATCCCTTATTGGTTATTGACATTGTAACTGCGGGTCTCTTGTTGCTGATTAGTGAAATGTGAATGAGATGAAGTTCATTTCTTATTGAAATTGATTGCACATTATCTTACTGAACGTTTCATTCATTAAAGACGATTCCAGGTTATGTTTAATGCGTAATCAGCAATTAATAATAATTTCTATGTGATATTTCAAGTCGTAATAATAATAGACTTGTCTGCTAGACTGATATGCATTTCTAGTATACAAGGTTTAATAATATCAATTCTGCCTAAAACTAGGTGTATGGAGTTCGTGCTCATAATCCACTGTTTGAGTGCTCAACCATGCATTTCGTTCAGTGTAAATATAAGAAAAGCGATTTGTTAAGGTGATGTCTATTATAATGTGAAATTTCTATGGTTCATTGTTTAATATTCCCCTTGATTTGACTAGACATTAATTCGCAAATTCTTATCCTTCCTTAGATAAACTCAGAAAACACCGAAATTGGTCAGTCGAAATCAAATATTCTGAATATATTTTATGATCCGTTGGGCTTAGAAACAACTAATTGTGGTAATGGTTATCCGGTAGTTGACAGTATTAAAAAAATGTCCAATCATTCACATAGTTTTGATCCATCTGATGACAAACATAATCTGCTTGGTTGCAAAGACAATGCTCTAAATGATATTGGCACAAGAATGAATGTTTGTATGGATGATACGTTTTTATTGGAATTTTTAGACAGAAATTTGGCTGGAACTGATTCCAAAACTAATGTCGATTTCGCCGAACGATGTGGTTTAAATTCTCCAACAGCATTTGTTGAAGATATGATTAAAAAAGCACAGAAAACTCTAAATCATCAGTATAAATGCTAACAGATTTTTAATTAACTTCCCATTCCGTTGTCTGTATTAATCTCAACTGCATTTATATATCATATAACAATTCGGCGTTTTACTGAAACTGTTTCGAATTCTGGTTTGTCTTAGTTGTAATCTTCTAGCATATCTATATCTATCCTTAAATTTTTTTAAGTCACTATAGTAATTCGAGTTATTGTAATGATAGCGAACAAAAAATAATTTTACGACCTCCGTCTTGATAACTTTAGATATCGTAATGAGAAGTTAAATGTTATTAGAACCATGTGATACATAAATAGGATTAATCTAACCACACAAATTGACATGTTAATAAATTTATGTGATGGTGTACTAATGTCGTGTTTAATTGCTCTTACGGCAGCCTAATTTGGTTCAAACTCCAGTCTCATAACTCATAAAGATACTTGTGATATCTGACCACAATTTGTCATTAGGTCATTACCAGAAAAGCACTTAATAGGTATATGACATTTAGTAACTACTATGTGTGACGTCTAAAGCTTCCACGTAGCCATTTGGACAGTTTCGCTCTCAACGACTTCTGTCTTCCAGTAGCGTTAACGCTGACTTATAATTACACTGTTTTCGTTCTAATTTATGTGTGATTTGAGGCATGATGGAAACAAGTCTGTAAACCGGTGGTCTGTTTTACCGCTCACTGTTTTGTGAAATAAGTGAAGAACGACCGACTTAAGGTCAGCATGTTACTTTTTTCCAAACTTAGTTATAACACGTGAAATAGTTATTTTCTCAAACTCTATGCTATATTTAGAAGGTTGTTTTCTTGATATATCGCGTATAACTTGAGAACTAAAACGCCGAAATCCTTCCAAGTTGCAATGAAAAGACAGAAGACTAGTGAAAGGAACATTATTCCAAACAGTGTCAATTATAGTACAAAATTGCCAGGTACTTATAGTTTTTAGTAATAACGAAATCATCATTACGGTCCTCCAATCCGCATACAGGGGGTTATTAGCATTGTCCAAGCTACACGTAGGAATTCTGGAATATTCTTCCAAAAGGTGTTGGATGGAATATCTTCGTCTCCTTCTGAGCCTCTTACAGCTTCCTCGAGTTCATCCGTGGTCCGTCGTCACACTAACAACAAAGAAAGTTTCGAACTGATATTTTTAATCACTTCGAAATGAATCGATGTTATTACTGTTAGCACAGATTTGCGTCCAAGTACATACTGCAAATTTGATTATGATGTTTCTGAATTTTTTTCAGTAAAATTTAAACGCACGCAGTTAACAGAATATATTTTTCTCCTACGTTGCAGCTGACTGACTGATTTTCCTTCTGTGAAAATTTGTAAATTTATCATTAAAAGGTTCGAAAGCGTAGACTTATTATACTCTTCTTAACACCCACTAGAACAATATGTCTATTAAATTAATTAAACTTGGGTAATCTTGCTCATTATAGTTATGTTGATGAATAGACAAGTATCTAGCACTACAGACTTCTAAACTGATCACCATATTACTTTCTAAGCAGAGATAATGGTGGGTAACAGTTTGAGGCAAACGGTACTCGGCTCAAGTTCTTGAGTGAATATCAACTCCGGGATGCAGTTACATCCAGCTGACCAGTCCCAAGTAGGACGAAACGCGCGTCTCGGATTCCACTGCTAACCACTCTCACCTCCGCCTATAATGCTTGTGATTGAAGGCAACAACAAAGCGATCCTCACATGACGCATATTTGTCAATAAGAGACTGATCAATCACAGTCCTAAACATCAAGAGGAAGATTCAAACAAACTATAAAAATTAATGATCATATTATTTGACAAAGTAGACATATTCAAGTAAAAATTAAATAGAAGCCAGGTGTGGTCGAGTTCAGTGTCAATAGTGACTAAAATCCAGTCGGTGTAAAATGAACCTTGACTGTTGTTTTAATCAATCAACTTCACGTAAAGAATTTGAATAGAACGAACGTTTTGGCTTTAAAATTTATGTAGTAAATATACTCATCAAAAATTTGTAAAAGATGTACTTAAATGCTACTGTATTGGAATCCTGCAAGTCACTAACTGCATTACGTTTACTTAATTTTCATTCTATTCATATTTTAAAGTCTGGAATATCTTGTTCTGTTTGTAAATTGGATGTCATTTATGTAAAGTACGCTTTAATGTACACTTCCCAGTGTTGTATGAATTAATAAATTCATGTGCATGTAAACCAGAGATTTACTGGAAGTGTAAAATCAAAATCATCCTGATCATTTTTGATGTTGTGTTTCTCACTTTCTGTTTCAAATAATGTAGATTGTAAATGAGTGAATTCTACAAAATAGAAAACTGAAAATTTGAATTAAGAACATCGGTGATTAGGCTAACTAAAATTTATTTGATTTAAATAATAAGTACAAAATAATGTAAGTTGGTTACTCATTTAGATGAAAAGAAATTGGAGTATATTGGCTCTTATGCTGATATAAAGTTTTGTGACCTATAAGTAGGTATTCAACGTGAATAGTGAACAGAATCATAAAATAAAACCAAAGATGATAATTGTGTATTTGAAAGATTTGTTTAAGCAAGTGCAAAAAATCACTCAAGTGTTGTAGCGTCTCAAAACATGTTTAGGTTGTCGAATGTTTGTTTCATAATGGTTTTACCATACATCGCATTTCGTATCAGGATTCATTGGTGAACCAACTGGACAACCATATGCACGTGCGAATCTTTTATTATTGACCAACGCCCCGATTACTCTTCCAATGTAGAGAAAACAAAATTATTTCATTAGTTTGTATATCTGTAAACTATATACACATATACTGTAAAGTTTGCTAACTGAAACTACTGTTCTCTGTCAAAGACTCTGAAAAGTTAGTAAAATTCAAGGTAGAGTAGTCGACTACCAGTGGAGTTGTAGACTACCGGAATTCATTACTTTTTAAGTTTCTACAGCCGTTTGTTTTGTGGTAGAAGTATTTTATTTTATTTGAACACATAAATATTGGTACAGGGGGACACCAAATATATATGTTTTGTGGTAGAAGTACAGTTATATCACATTCAAAGATGTTAGTGTTCATTCTTGTGACGGAATATAATGCTGAATACTTGTAATTCTTCGTTTTATACTGCAACATCTGCTATGAAAACTTTAGTTTGTAGCAACAAATATTTAAATAGTCATAATTTCTAGTGTACCATATGTAATTTAGGTCGTTATAAATTCTTACCTAAACCTTTCCAAAACATGAGGCACAACTACTGAATTTTGTACAAGTATATTCTCACCATGATGTCCACACATAGCCTTAAAAATGAGATAATGAAAACAGTTGAAGAGTACATTACTAATTATTTGGTGATAAAACAAGACATGATTATATTTAATCTGATATTGCACTTATTATCCAATACTTAAAGTATACATAATTATTGCATGAAAATAAAGATGAGTTTTAAGAGATTTGATCAAATGAAACTTTAAACAATAACATTTTTCGGCGAAACTCTAATTTAAGGACGAGTCAATCAGAAGCGTTTGAGCCATTTCAAGGTCACGGAGCCAAGTTTAACGCATGAGGCTCACGTACGATCGGTTTACAGCGAGTTTTAGAGAAAAGGTTATTATTGAGAGGCTACAAGAGATGGGACTATTAAAAAGTTCTTGTACATGCGACTGCGGTTATCAAATGACTGCACTAAAGTGTGCAGACCACAGCGGTGAGATTATATTCCGTTGTTCTTCATGTTGGAGGAAAAGGTCTGCTAGAACGGGGACTTTCTTCGCTCGATCGCGACCTAAATTGAGGCAGATCATGATAGTAGTTGTAAATTGGGTAATAAAGACACCTGTAACACTGGCTGCGGCATTTGCAGATGTTACTGAAACTTCAGCAGTCCAGTGGTATGACTACTGCCGTGACATATGCACAACTAAAATGACAAGTATACACCAATCATTCGGAGGAGTAGGATGTATCGTGGAGATAGATGAAACGGTAGTGAGAAGGCGAAAATACAACAGGGGACGTAGTCTAAAGGAAAATTGGGTAAGTAGCATTTTCGTTAATATACTTCCCAGGTACTTGGAATTTATGATAAATCAACTTGACTGGGACATTTTCAGAAGGTCAGAAACCGGCCAACAACCACAATAATACCAATAATACAGGAATACGTGCTGCCGGGCACTACGGTATATACGGATGACTGGAGAGCGTATAGATGTCTTCATAGACTTGGGTATGTTCATCACGTCGTAGTCCACAAACGTCATTTCGTCGACCCTACAACCGGTGTTCATACCAATAACATTGAAGCCATGTGATCACGATTGAAGGAGTTCTTAAGACCGTATCACGGCTCCAGAGGTCGACTGTTACGGAGCCATATGGATGAGTTTTTATACCGTATGCAATATGATTTCAAAACATCCGAACCTTTATCAAATCTTAACAAGTTTTAAATCATGTAAAAGAAGTATATACACTGTAATTCTTTAGTTTCTTCCGATCTATTTTTACTTTATACTAACTGTCTTCTGATTGGCTAGTGTTCTCAAGGTCACTCAAAAGTCGTTCAAAAGTCGTCCCTAAATTCGAGTCTCGCCAAAACTACTAATTCAACTACAATTATTTGAATAACGTTATGGTTTTAGTTTTAAGCTTTACCATTTTTTAAGCTCCTACAGGTAAAGTGGAAATATTATTGAGTTGAACTTTGTACTAGTAAATACCGAAATAATTTACTTTGCAGCTTGATTGTGAATGGCAGGCTTATTCAGAATAATTGTAGGAATGTCACGTACTCCGTGTACCGACAATAAATTTTAATATTAATTTTCGGTTGAATTTCAGGAATTACGACATGGATGGGTCGGTGATTTTTATGAAAGTGTTGATGAATACAGCAATCACATCACAGCTCAAGGGGAACAAAGAATGTAGGATGAGCATTTTAGATAAAGATGATAAATACCATTGAATATAACATTAAGAAGTGTACCAAAGGTTTTCTTATGAATAACAACGAATCAAAACTTTGACTTACTTGTGCAGACGAGAGGAAGAACAATCGATCGGATTCAAGTGACTCATGGTGATCTTGGCTAACATTGTTCGAGAACGTCTTCAACAAACGCCTGTATGTCTGAATAAAGAATGTTTTGTAACGTAAAATTTATTGTGACTGAGTTAGTGTTTTTGAAAACAATGGTCATATTACGTATTAGTAAAACATCATTTAAAATAAATAGTTTGCGTGTTTGTGAAACGCTTTTTGCAACGTGTTATGATAACGTAGTTTCTATTATGAACAATCAAAATAAACTCATGCACTTTGTGCTGTATTTCATAGTTTTCATGAATCGAGAACGAGCAAATGAGTAACAGGGTTATGCATCTGTTTTAACTAGCGAAAGAATCATTAGCTAAGCTATAGGTTATTCTGCTCGATGAATTGATTTCACAGAGATATTCCAAGTATGTGTGATTTGTTCCGTGATTTGTTTTCATACTTCAAATCAATGTTGATGCTAAAAAAATTTTATACAAATACAGTTTCGATGATTGAAGAGAACACTACGGATTGGTCGATTTTCGTTTTCATATCAGCTATTATGGGATAAATCTTTGAGGTGTGCAATAACAAAAGAGCCTTTGAATGCGCAAAAAGGAGCACATGACTCAGAAAGTAGTGCAAGTGGGACAATCTTGTCAATTTTTTCTTGAATAATTTATTAAATTTTTGGTTATTCAATTATCAATCATATGATAGAGTATAGAAAGCTAGAACAACAAACGTGATATCGAACCACTTTGTGAACCCTTATGTTTACCTGACAAACCTTATCATTTACTCAGAGAAGTAACCGTGAGATCTTTTGCCATTTTTTAAATTTGATTCGTTTCTATGTTTTGGTGAGTTAACAAAATCTTCTGTATTGATCTCATACATGATACATGCATAATAGTATTATTTATTTGTCTATACCATATTTAGATTTTTGTTCATTGAAAGGAAGTTATCGAACTACTCAAGACAGAAAATAGTAGTCTGATGACTGATATCTAATTTCAGTGGTCATAAATAAGATCACATTAATTATCTAAATGTACTTACGTAGTAGGACGCTTTTAATCCATTATTGTCAGCCAACATTTCTTCTTGAGTATCAGTCCGAAAAGCCTAAATCAATTGAATAGTCAAGAGGCATGTGATGTGAACCTGAAATCGGAAATGCTCACAATCCATTTTTTACACTGAAATGTTATATGGTAACTATACAACGTGACATTCCATACGGTAGACTTAATTCTCTAAAATAAGTTATAATGTCACGCAAACAGAAATACTTTCAATGTTTATGAATTATGTTTTAAGTTAAATGGCTTAATGGGTAAAGGATACTCGTAAGTTAGTAGCATTTGACCACAGAAATATTGCTTTCATCTGCTGGGTTAGTTAAATGACTTATCGTCCTTTAAGTAAGTTTTTATTTTTAAAAAGCGTTTCATCAGTGAATGTACTAAAGTTTCATTATCAGTGAATCCAGTTGGTGATCAGTATTGAATGAATGTGTATTCCATGAAATTCGTGTCAGATGAAGATTATTTTGATCCGTTTTCGAAGGTCATTATTGATTAAAAGTAATTTCACATCCAAACAAAAACGTGCTAGTAACTAGTGTGAATTAATTTTCTAGTCTTGTTTTTTTCAATTTATGTAATATTTTCAACACTTTATTCAAATTAGATGACAGCAGTTTACGAAATTATGAGTAAGTCTCGTCAAATGTAGCGAAACAAAATTATTAAGAAATAAGACTTCAGTGTATAAGAGTGATATTTGGTTGGACAATCTAAGTTCATTATGTTATATCCGAGCAAAGATTAAGCGACAGTAACTTTCTGGTGAGCTGTCATGTGATTTTTCAACCTCAGGTGGTCTAAGACTTAGACTTAGTGTATTAGGGAATGATGGTAAAACAGTTGATGAGGTTGCGAATGTTTATCGAGTGAGATGGTTGAGCCACGTATTACACATGGAGACGAATGAAGAATGTTGGGGGCCATCAATCCAAAATCTGGCATAGTCAAATTACTTATTATGCACATATTACTCTGGTCATAAGCATTCTAATGGCCCATTAATCGCTGTATTACGAGTTGCTCTTCTTATTCCCAATCTATTATTCATAGTTTACCCTAATTAGCCACTTTTTGGATCGACCATGTATAATTGTTATTTTCTGTTTTATGTCGGAATACAGTCTGGTGTGGTTGTATATAAACTACCTCTGTCTGAAATATGTAGATTATCCTGGACTGTTGATCATTGGTCTTTTGTTCTTCCTCTTCGTTCGGAGTAAGTAGTTATTGAGTGAACCGTCATGCATAGAGTATGAGCCTTGTTGTCGTTGCGTATCGGTTCCTAGAGGTCGTCTGTAGGATTTGGTTGGTGCTAGAACATAACACGTGACAAGTAGAACATATTAAAATGGTTTCGTGTTGATATACTTTTACTGTTATTTGTATGGTATGTGAAATCGGAAAAGAGAGCAATAACTGATGTGACGTATAATAGTAATTAAAAGTTCGTTTTCCAATATTCCCAAACTCTGTAAGTAGAATACATTTAAAATGAAGTGAGTAACATTATCACCTGATGATTAGGAAAACATTTGTACGAAATAACCTATGACTACACAAAATTTCGGAAAACATTTATACGTTCATATTTATAATTTAACTAAACTTACTTTTAAACTAGTGTAATCATATGAACTATACTGATGACTCAGACATAAAGATTTCAGTTGTATCAAACTAGATGACAATAAAGCATTCATCGAAGTCCGTTTATTCCAATTCTCATCATACAGAATACCTTGAGATACAACGAAATTAATAGGTTATGTTTATTGAAATTGTAATTAATTTTAACATAATTGCTAGTGTGAATGTAAAGTAGAAGAAAGAGACAGGAGAAATCAGTGCATAAGTGTTTGATAACCACCAGTTTTTACATCAATCTTAATGAAAGTATGAAATAATGAGTTTGTCAGAAACTAACAGATGAATGGTGGCTAACAGAATACACACTTCGTTGTATTTGGGACTCGTCAGTTACATGTATCTACATAACATCTCTGCTTATAATGCTCATGACCTAAGACAATATCAAGGTGATTCTCACAGGATGCATATATGTCAATAAGAAACTAATCCATTGCAGTCCTAAACATCAATTAGAAGTTTCAAACAAACCTTAATAATCCGTCAAATAGTAAATTTCTCTATGAATTCATTAGACAATCAAAATGATATTGTGGTTTTATGAACAATATTATACCGAAAGTGATAATTTTATACTAATTAATTAACATTACTTTTAAGAAACTGAAAATTTTGTATACTGATTGAACGAACCTTGGATACCTATGGCGTGCATAATTTCATGACTTATAATCCAACCCAGTGCTCCAAATTTTGAAGCTAAACTACCATTTTCATAATAAAGTGGAGGTTGTAGAAGTCCTGAGTATACATATATGCGAGTTTCATCCTCAGTATAATAAGCTGATACACGAAATGCCGGTGATCCTATGAGAGATCTGCTCACAAAAAATAAAGGTTTGATTATTTCAAATATTATGCCATTTCAATAAAATTTCCCAGTTTTTACATTTCATCAGGTAATCGTTCCAAGATTACTACGGTACGAAATGTCCAGAATTTTAGCTCTATCACAAACTAGCGTGGATGATATTACGTGACACTTAATGGATCGGTGAATGAAGCAGTTTTATTCACACAAAAATTGGGTAGAAATTGGTGTGTCTGATTACAACATGAGGTGATGGAATCTGAATAAAAGTAATTTTGTACAACCACTTTATTAATATGGATTCTAATCTTCGAATTAAATATCTGTGATTTCCTAAATAACCAGTAAGTGAATGACCAGTCCAACTTTTGTACTTATAGAACTAGAGGGTTTGCTGTTTGGAAGATTTCGATCATTAGTAATTATTGTACATAGATTATAGTCTGTTATTTGGGTTCGCATTACTAAACAGTGTCAAATCTCCTGAAGAAAAATATAGAGATGCTATGTGATATGATAATAATGATAATGGAAATTAGTATTTGTCGTTTGAGTTATAAAATGAGTGAAATCTTCTTACCTTATTACGCTTGTAACTAGTGTAATGAAGGCACCGAAAGTTTGCTTAAGGAAAATGATTTGTACATCATTCTCTCTTCTAGGATTTTAATTAGTATATTCGTCACAAGATTTAGAGGGAAGACGTCTAAACGAACTGAACACTGACTAAATCAGTCCACGAAACCAATTTGATTTCATGGTAATGTGGGCTCTATTCAGTGGAAGGCATCAATCCATAAGATTATTTCGAATATAATATACTCAAATTTTTCTAGTTAAATAGTAAAATTATTAATTTGTGATAATTTGTATTGCGTTAATAGCAGAGATATCATGACAACTTACGGATTATAATTGTGTAATTGCGTTTTCAAAGTGTCAATATATTTCGCTTTACGCATATAGAATTCATTTATGTAATAATTGTCCTCTCGAATCGGGTACTAAATATTGTTTGTGTGAAAAAACATTGATATAGATCATTTAAAAGGTGTTTACAGCACGTTCTAAACACTCTGTCTTCCAGTTTATTGAGTAAATATTTCCGAATTAAGGGTTTTGGAAAATGCAGTGTCGTTGAAGTAACATTTCTGTTTTTCACTGTCGAACTAATCATTGTCACGTAAACTGACTTTTCTCAGTTTGTAACGCAGAGTTACCGAAACGATTTTACTGAAGCATAGAATTGTGCGAATAGTCCTCGTGTGAATGTAAATTTTGCCACTTAATGATACATACAACCTTCTGCTATGACGAGTTTATGGGTGATGATTTTCTACATGCACTCAAGTCGTTGGATTATGGTAGGATTGAAGTGTATTTTTTGGGGAGCAGCAGATTGGTCCATAAATTGACCGATATATTTGAACCTTTTACGGTTTAACTACTGAGTTTCCGAACTGTAGAATAAAATCCAGTGAGTTGAAGTTTCTCTTTCACGTAATGATGGAATATGTTTTTATTGCACTAAGTGTTATTAATGATGAGTTATACAATTGACAGTCTTTTGTGAATTTCTCATATCTCCTCCGTGATAAGCGGATTTTATTTCCCTTAGAAATAAACTATTATATAGGGTGATATGTAACATAACCAGTTTTCAATAAAACATGCATTAGCTATATCAAATAGACATGTAAAATAATTTATATTTCAATAGTGAAATAACTGTAGCTAACTTACTTGGAATACTGTTGAGAGATTTTCTTTTTGTTGAGAAGCATTTGGATTGGAGTACAAGGCAAATATGCCCAGTTTTGAAACCTACAATTTTTCAAAACAATCGGTTATCTGATTAAAACTTAAACATACCTTGTGTTTCATGAATTTCTTTTCTTCCTCACTCAACCACTTGATTTTTGGTATTGAGTTAGATATAGTTAGTTTAATTTCGTTAAACATGTTGATCACCTGTAATAGAGTGAAAGATAACCAAATTGTTGTTATGTTTGTAAACTATTGCGAACCAGTTACAAATGTAAGAGATAAGTTATGAGATTCAAACATGAGCGTATCTTAGACGTGAGCCCAGCAATTTAGTTATGAGTTCACAGCAAGTGGTTGTATTATAGCAACTGTCATACAACCAATTTGGATTATAGTTAATTTTGGTCATGCTCTTTTATTGACTTACTTAACAGACAATGTTATTAGAACAATAACAGTTCGCATATATTCTTTGTACCGTTATGATCACTAGATCACATGACAGACTCTAGCTTAAATGTTGATTGCGTGAATGTCACTTGATATTTCATCCTCCTGCCTATGTGTATGCATGTACTCAAATCCTATTATTAGCGTTTGCTTTGCCTTGCTGTGCCCTTATGCAGTTCGACTAGAAATTCGCTTTTGTAACCGCTCGTACATACTTATTGGCCTCTCCGCTTTAAATTCGCTGGATGTGCTTATAGCTTTGTGATCTGCGCTATCCGCTAATAAACTGTAGTTGCCACTTCTCATTGTCTTCTGATTTCAAATTGTAATTTTTTCGAGAAAATGGGTTTGAGTTCATTGTCTAACCGAAACTAGGTCGATGTTGGGACGGTGTTGACCGTTTTATGTAATTCATGTATGAACTTATATCCGAATTCAACGACAAAATTTCACAACGTTTGAGGGACAGGTGTATATGTGATGGCGAAAATATGAAAGTTTTGATGGAGTTTTGTTCCCTGAGCTAAGTGGTTTGGTCGTTCTTTTGAACGACATCATCAGCACAAACTTCAGATAGAAGTGAAGTGTTCGAATTCCTCCATTTGCGTTTCACAGCTTGTTCCGTACACCTCGATGTTGATTGGTTCTTGTTGACGTTGAATTTGTCATTGTTTACTTCTTTGTTTTGGTTGTGTCTCCTATTAGTTTGATTCTTGTTCCTATATTTGTGTATAATTTTCCTGATTGGTTGATAAATTGGATCGATTTCAATGTGTTTGTTGATTACTGATTGAGCTGAGTGCCAGGCTTCTAAAAATTCTCTTGTGTTTTTGGAATTTCTTCTGTCCAAGATTTACACATTTTTCCAATCGAATGAGTGTCAACAGTTGTCGACGTGTATTGATATAAGTGAGGAGATATCATGCCGTTTGATGGCTAATTGATGTTCATGTAGGCGAAGGTGAAGGGGGCGTCCGCTTTGTCCGATGTAGTGTTTGTCGCAGTTAACACAATTTATTTTGTAGATGATGTTTGATTTATCTTCTTTTGTCATTTCATCCTTTGGTTTGCAAATATAGGAACAAGAATCAAACTAATAGGAAACACAACCAAAACAAAGAAGTGAACAATGACAAATTCAACGTCAACAAGAACTAATCAACATCGAGGTGTACGGAACACGCTGTGAAACGCAATTGGAGGAATTCGAACACTTCAATTCTATCTGAAGTTTGTGCTGATGATGTCGTTCAAAAGAACGACCAAACCACTTAGCTCAGGGAACAAAACTCCATCAAAACTTTCATACTTTCGCCATCACATATACACCTGCCCCTCAAACTTCGTCAGTTCGTAATATAACCAAAATCAATGTTATTTAGCACAATTAGCGTTAGGAATTATTATGTGCTATAGGCTTATTATGTTAAGATGCTGAATATCGTTTTGTGTGAATATAAGTCATTTGGTGTGAAGTGTGCTCTAAATTGTGTTATTCGAAAATATTTGTTTATATTTACTTAATTTAAATCAAAAAGTGTAGTAACCTCTTGATTTAAATAATATTTGACCTTTGAATATGAATGGCCGACTGTTGCGTACATAGGCGTTTCTGACAGCATTCCAGCGGAATAATGTTAATTTCGATTATTCACTCAAATATTCTCAAAACATACCTCTTGGGACACTGACTTCTTTTATCAAGTTGAGTAATCATGGTGTTTCACCATTTAGATAAGTAAAATGATTAAATGTTCATACATTAGCGTCCACATATTAATAACAGTAGAATGAGCTTGGATGATATCATCCATAGTGTTGAACTGGTAATCACCATATTGAGTTCCATTTATCCATTTGTGGACAGTCAAACTCTGTCATGGATTACAAAGTCATCCAAGGTAATAACTTAAAATTAATTTTATGAATGTATCGTATATCCGACTTCATTTTCCATCACTCTTATATAACGATGTTTGTTCACTTTAGTGTATCTATTTGGCTATCATGAAATAAAACAATGTGTACAACTGTCCATTTTGTAAAATTGTCAATTAGATGAGCACTGCAAACATATAATCTAGAATGGTCTGACGAGAAATGAGCAAAAGGTGCCTATCACTCAGGATTACTTTACTCTGAGGTAGAATGCTGTTCAATATATCTCGTCTATAGTTAATTGGAATAAAATGTTCGAATTTGTAATGTCAAAAGTTCAATAAATCCCGATAAAATTGGTGGTTGTATTGAGTTTACCAGAACTGCCTTGATGGGTTCTATGAAGTTCTCACACTGTATTGATATAATTGATCAATTGGGGTCACGAGTTATGTATGTTACTCGAATTTCGCAACAGAGTAATCTATGATATTTTCATTTTACTCAGGTGTGTTATCCACTTAAGATGGATAGGTTTCGTTCGAGTGTGATAATCATATTGTAGCTCGTTGGCTATATGAGAAATTCTTCAATCTATGAATTAGTTGTTTCTAAAAGTCTATTTGGATTGTCTCATTTCATCATATAACGATTTCATAATATTGCTAGGCAGGTCTGCCCTTCAAACATTGTAGACAAGTTAAATATGACAGGGACCAACCTCCGTTTTGTGTGTTTCGTTTACATGCGAACGGATATAATGTCTTTCAAGTGTCCATGGAAATCCATCCTTCAACCGATTTATACATTGCTCATCAAAATGTGGTTGTGAAGCTATTTTAAATAAAGTGAAATAATGTTATGTTGTGAGAGGATGGAATGAATTTTTATGAGGAAAGAACGGAATCAGTGAGTATGTAAGCAAATATAAATTTCAACTTGATATTCTCCATGAAACACATGACACTATCGTACAAATCCAACGTTTACAGATCTAGTGTTCATGACTACTTGTATACTCAATCATTCATTTACTCACTTTAACATGTAGTAGAGCAAGAATATTTTCGAAATAATGTTTAACCAATAAGCTGTTAACGTTCATTACTTTGCTTCGAATATCAAGACGTTCTTCAAAGTATATTTTAGATAATTCCTATTTTAAGTCATTCTACTTCTATCAATATGACTGAAAATGACAATGATGAATAAATGTACATTGGTTCAGGGATGATGTATTGTGTTGATGGGATTTGCTGAATATACTAGACTTGTTCATACATGAATATGTCTTCTGTTGAACCATGCAGGCAGAATGGAATAGGAAGTTTTGTTTCGACTAGTAACTACTACGTTGTTTATTTATGTGGTTTCTATTGATGAATAACATTTTTATACTGGTTGTTAGTATATTTATTGAAGCTAGCAGCCAGTGACTATCATGTGTTTGGCGTTAAATTTATTCATGTGCTCAATACTTTCGACATCACTGGTGACCTTAGATCATATAAATTAAGAACATCATACTTCTTTAGTATATAAATTTGTAACACATGAACACTGGTCGGAGCGTTTCTATTCATGAAGACCATTGTTATAGAAAATTATTTCACTACCGATTTTCCAATCTCCTTGTTGTTACTCTAACGACAGTTATAAACTGATATACTGTATCTTTTAATCATAGTGTATAAGAAATGAAGCTCAGTATTTTCATTTTCAAAGCATTGTAAAGGACGTTATGCCTTGTGAACTGATTTTTGTTTCCTAAGGACACACATTCTTTTCCGAATATTACTGTTCACTAGTATATCTTTTACGGTCAATAAGTGATATTTCATGTCGTTATTGCAGTTCGTCTAATAATCAGTTCAATACAATAAGACCCTTGGATTACATGCGGAAACGTGGTTAGAAATTCAATGTCACGTGAATAGGCGATTCGCAATCCCATCATTGACTTTAAGACAGATATTTCACAGAAACCAGTAATTAAATCAGCAGATTATTGCCAAATAACAATCTGGATTTAACAGTTTGGAAATGAATATGTCGTCTAAATATATGTCGGTCATCAAGATTGTCTATTACGAATAGCCACTTCATGACGTTTTACTAAAAATTTCACTTAAACCCGATTATCATCTAGTTGACGGAATATGTTTCTTCAAAACGGGATGCAATATTATGAGTAAAACGAGTAAAACTACATCTGAATTGATATATCCGTGTGTTGTGAAAAGATATCATGACCTAAACATTCCATACATTTTAGTTATTAACTACAGCTAAAGTAATTCTCTTGTATAATTTCAGTACTAAGTAAATAAATACATTGTTGAATATAATACTAACATGAATTCAAGTTATCATCCGTTCCAAATGTATCGACGTTTAGTGTATTCATTTGTTGTTCTCGTAAAAAATCCATAATAGTTATTGTGCGTAGGGTACTAATAAAGGGAAAAAAATTAGGTCATCAAAACTCTTAATAAAGCTAGGCTAATGGTAGTAATAATAAAAAAAACATCGATAAAACATCATGTCAAATTAACAAATAACACTGACAAATGGTTCTAAACTCAAATAACTATTCTAGAGCCTAATTCTCATCACTTGTAAATTTCTAGTGACATACAAGTCTGAAATACGAATTGTAAAATGTGTTTAATCCATTTTATTTGAATAGAATAATTAAAACAGTGAATGTTATGCATTTGTTAACTTAACAGATAACATGGATTACATAATCTGGTTTCTCATTGATTTACCAAAAGAAATTTCTATTGGTAATAGGAAAGTAGACTAAGGTATGTTTGAAACAAGCATTATGTTCCATGATATTTGCTTTAAAATGTAACGTAGTGACTCAATTATTGCCAGAGATAAAGATTTAGGGAAAAGTGAATATAAATTATTATGAAAGGTTTTCTATTTGAAAAGACATCTTATAAAGCTTCGTCAGTGCATAATCCAGATACAAGTTGAATGATATGGTTAAGATTGAAATTACTTCATCGAGGAATTGTGAAATGTCAAAGAAAATGATCCAAATTGACAGAACAAACATAAACAATCTGTCCAGTTACTTGAAAACAAATAAGTCAACGGATTAGTCAATCATTGATAGGTTTCATTTTAAACAATATGTTTAATATGTTTTAGTCAAAGCAATCAAAAACTGTATGTTTTTGAGATGGTGGAGAAGATTTGTAGCTCAGGTGGATGATTTTGATGGAGTTTTGTTCTCTGTATGTTTTTCTTTACTTGATTAAAGTGTGAACAATTGAACATTTTATTCAACTACCAGATAGGAATGAAAGGTATTAATATTGATTGATAAACAGCTACTGACAAATAATATTTACTAAATATTTCATATGTGTGCCTTTTTTGCGTAGATTAAAATTGGATGATTAGAACCTGTATTAAACTCTGTAAATTATAACAGTCTCTTTCTGTGCGGTAAGTGTAACAATGAATTGTTTTCAGACAGAACTTAAATGTTTTATTATCCAAATGTAATTACTAAACTCACGTACAGCCATTAGATTCCATTTCGATGTCGTCTAATTATTTTCACAGTTTTAAATCACGAATTGATCTTAGCTAGACCCCCAGTGAAAACCGGGAAACATTGAATAGCCGTTTCTTTCTAGTATGAGACTATTCACTATTGCATGTCCAAGAACCCACATCCAGGAATCGAAACCAAGCTCCTCGATCTCACACATTTACGTTCAATTTAGAGAGTATTGATTTGGTATCAAACGGTGTAAAGGTCTAACTTCAACTCACGATATTGCCTGTGGTGGATAATTATTGTGGATGCTCACAGATGAGGCATCTCATAACAGGTCAAAGGAGACGTCAAGGGCTTCCAGGTTTTCAGTGGTACTGTAACTGAGGTCAACTCATGATTTGAAAGTGAAAGTTCTACAGTCTCCACAAATCATTTACACTAATATAATTAATTGTTGAGAGATGTGGGTGTATATTTTCACAAACTTATTGACTGCGAAATTATGTATTTGTTGCCGACCATAAAGAAAACAAAGTATGCTTTACCTTCCACCATCTATTTCTGTCAATAAAGCCTGGTATTCTGCGCAACGTTGACGGAGTTCAGATTTCCGTTCTATAATGATTGGTAGTTTGTGGTATTTTACATATCCAGTTTGATGTAATACTTTTTCAAGTACATAACTCCAATCGATCTATACAAGTAAAATAAGTTACAGTAAGCTTATAATATGGTTTCTCGAGATGGAATGGAATAGAATTTTCAATGGCTTTAACGTCACATAAAACAGCCTTTTGCATAGAGATGACCACCTGTGTATTGCTAGGTAGAACAGTTCGGTAAAATAATACTGATTATTGAAATTCCAAATAAATATAGATTCTTAGGAAACGTAGTTTGCATGTATTCTATCAAATGAAGAATTCGAATGGTGACATTCATCAGTTCACTATAAATAACGTCTTACCATTTCGTGACAAGTAACCTACATTTCGTAGCATACATTGATAGTTATCAGCTTCAATTTTTTCGAAGAATCTCAGTTACACTGCTTTATATTTAAAAAAAACATATGGTTGGGGCAAGTCATATGATAAAATTTACCTGTGGACAAATGGATTGTAGTTCGTTTTTCGTAATAAATTCTTTCAAGTGTCGTTTCTTTGGGTTGGAACTCTTTTGGAGATTGAGCGTAAAACATAACAAAAATTAAAATCATAGTTGTATCTTAATTTCAATCGGATATCACAAAAGAGGACTCTTGGTGAAAATCATTTAGTCATGGTCTGACGACTGCACACTCCAGTTATACGATATAAGGATCAATTATTATAAGGTTCATCATCCATTTTCCATATTTCAGGATTGGCGGTCTTTTCAACCACTGCTTTAACCAGCCAATTCTCAGTAAAATGTTCTAGAACTTGATGATGTTAAATGGTTGTTTCTCGTTTAGAACTAGCCAGTAGGGAATTCTTCATCTGGTGAACATACGTGTTTATGTTGATCGATTTTTAAGAGACTTTGTTCACTAATTGTAACGACGAACTCTCACTGCCAATAATCATCTTGTATTCGAATTTACGGGAATGAACGGAGATTTTCCGGTTGAAGATCATGTGATAGACATTTCTAATCAGGTAGGAACTATGAGAAACGTATGTGACGATGACATTTCTCTGAAATCTGTTTCAGTATTTAGAGTGATTTTTCTATCATTCACTTTTATCAACTAGAAGATCTATAGAAATGGGTGATCTGCTCAAACCTTGGAGTCAAATTTTCCAGTTGCTATTAATGCAGGAAATTACTAATCCGTTTCCGTGAATCAATCATATATAATAGCTACATGACATTCTCTTATGCATTTACTAAAGGTTAACAACTTATTGTGATGCTAAAACTATAGAATTCAGGTAAACTGTGAGAAGAGTTTATGTTCTCATTTCTGAACATGTTCCAAGCAACTTGAGGCTTCGAGGGACTAGGGCTCTCAACAGTGCAATAGCTTGGCATTTACTTGACACCGGACATACCATCGACATTCCACACGCTTTTGAAATTATCAACAGACAAAGAAATACGACTGCTCACCGGTTCGCTGAAGCGATCGCGATAAAAAACTTAAACCGGATTTATGCATTCAAAAAGAGACATTAATAAACTTATTATTACCCTGGTAAATCATTTTTTATTTTGGTTATTTAGATTATTTTATTCATTTATTCAATACCTCTAAAATTATCACACAATTTATGAACTGCACTAAACTATTACACCACCCATCCTGAATTGTTTCCTTAATCCTAACACTAATTAACCTCTGACCTGTTCTTGCATATATAAATATATAGTTATTATTGTAAACCTTTGTCATTCCAATTATTTACATTCATTTATGTCAATTTTATGCAGAGAAATTCGATCAATTCTACTGTTTCTAGTCAAAAGCGAATGCTCTCCTACAAGTTGGAAACTGTTTAGGAATGAAATTTACCGTACTGGTCTCGAGTAATCATGAGTAAGTATACATTTGATTACTCGTAACTCTATGAGTCAGTGCATGACTCGTTTCCGAAACTAGCTCTCGTAATTTAGATGGAGGTCTGTCGCACAATATATTTTTGTAATTGTTAACTCATTTGTTCTGATGCTGAAGATTTTTCAACACTTCTTAGGTGAGTTTGCAATAGTGCACAAAAGTGATGTTTTACTACAATGTTAAAACTAGAAAACTAAACTTTTCGGCCTTAGATTACTGCGAGTAGAATATAATATTTAGGCTTTTCTGAAGGTCTGTAATGATTACTCATTGTGAATAAATGTCTCATAAAATGTTTCAAATAAACTTACTCTGCCTAACCGAATCATTTTTTGGAACGCATCTGTTAGTTGTGTTTTTTGAGACTCAGGTACCCCAGTTTCAAATGCAAGCTTGTAGTAATACTCTTCAGATTCATTCATAGTAGTCTGTTAAATAAAATATGAAACGTCTTTTACTCAAACTGAATTGTACATGTGGATGATCGTTATTCATGATGTAAAAATATATCCAAAATATACAAATAGCTTAGGACTTTTCTATTGTGACGCAACATTTGTCGATTGTTCTGGTTGAAAATGACGATTGGTTAGTTATTCTACAATGTATTAAATTACGTCATATTGTTATGCGTCTCGATCTTCTATATTGATGACACACAAGTCCCTACCCTGGCATCTCACACTTAGAATTCGTAATACATAGGAAAGCAAAGTACGATGAAATGCGGGATTTATATTTGAGCGAACAGATTATTTCTATTATCGGAGAGTGCGTTCACCTTGTCAATCAAGTGTCAAGAGTGTTTTTCATTTATATACCTTTGAAAAGTTGTAGTGAAGTTTACTCATCCATTTTTCCAATTTCAACTTTATATAGAAATGATAGTAAATCTATTTAAATATCGGTGAGCGACGCCAAATTGACTTTGACAGTGTTCACCTGATACTAATCATTCGGCTGAATGAAACGTTTGAGTGTTAATATTTAGGACTTTTGCGACATTTTATTGAAATCAAAATGGGATGGAAGTTGGCAGCTTTCATTGAATTACCTATTAAACAAATAAGTTCTAGAAAAAAATTTAAAAGTTACCTTCTGTAAATCTGGTTGAAATGCGAACTGACCAGGTGAAATCTGATGAGATTAGAATTACAAAATACATTTCAATGGTTTGTTAAATAATCAAACAAAGTGTATACTGCATAAAACATATAATGGCAATCTAAATTCTATTAAACCTGTTTTACCGACCCCATGCATGTGAAATATTTACTTATTTTGATACCATTTCTTGTTTCTCAGTGTATTATTTCTATCAATATTACCATTATATTTCCATAGAAGGACACATCGATTTACAGTGATTTATTACATGTATTCATTACTAGAAATTGTAATTTAGAAATTGAATTGCTAAGCGGATTTCAGTAAAACCATTTACGTGTTTTATGTGAAGAAATGATCATATTTAAGTTCCGTAAGTTAAAAAAGGACAACACAGTGATGTAAGTATCTTTTCCACGTTATCCTTTGCCAAAACCTTACAATGGCATTCATAGAGACTTAATAAATGAACGTATTTATAGAATTATAGAAAGAAATTATATATAGGTATTCGGTGAAATCAAGTATCAAAGAAAGGTTGGGTAATGATCTAGGCGTTAATGAAGATTTGGAACATAAAACTTATTTTCAGGCCAGAAATGCGAGAGATTATTGTTAACGTGATAGACAAAAAGGAAAACTTAAACCGTTCAAGGTGATAATGACAATGGAATAATACTTGTGGAAAGTTGTACGATGGTCTTTATTATTGGCTACTGATTGAAGAAGTAAAGTATCATAGTGGAACATGTACTGGGCGCGGTAAGAGGTCCACAGCAGTATTATAGATTACAGGTGCTGTTTTTGTACGCAAAGTTTTGGTTTAAATCGGTAAACTGCTGAAGACTCACAATTAAGGCAGTTTTAGATAGGATACCCATTTGATTTCATTTGTATATGTGTATAGATGGATTTGAAGGATCATTCTAATGGGACAAACGTATATTGATTTATTTCAAAGAGTTAGTCCGTTTTTGTCATTTCCATAAATGACTAACTGTTTGTAGACGATGCAAAACCTGGTTGCTTAAAATGATTTTCTCTAGGATTTTATAACTCAATTTTTCAGAGCTGCCGTGAAACTCGATGCTAACGAACAATTTTCTTTTGAAAAGTGATTGGTCTTTCAGATTTCTGTTCCCGTTACAGGTTTTTAACTGTCAGCCTAGACTGACAGCCAATATTAATAAGGTTTTGTCTGAGTTGGGGTCATTTATTTTTTATTGTGTCTTTCGAGCACATCCTCCTGACCCTTGAAGTTAATGACTGAACTCGAAAATTCAAGTATTGATCACTCTATTTAATGTGTATGAGTCCTTGTGATGGATCATCTGGGCACATTTTAACAGGAAATAAAGGAAGAAAAATTTCAAAATCATCTTAGCTTCCAACGTAAATGTAATTGGTCGATGATAATTGTTGGATTTGTTCAGGATGATGTTGGAGATGATATTATTGTTATAGGTGATACACGCATGATCAGTGTATCTTTTGTATAACTATCATATACTTGAGCTTGACCATGAACTGATACACTGAGAGAGTGTCCAGTAGGGAACTCGTCGCTTACCAATAAGTTCGCATACGGAATTCAGTATTAGATCTAAACTGGACATTAAAGGAGCATATGTTTTTAGACAGTGTTTCAGAACACCAATGTCGAGAAGAAGATTCACCTAACAATGACGATTTGTTTCCCAAGTGACCATACTGGAAATGATAACTAGCCATAGTCACTTCCCTTAAGCAATATAATAGCCTTTACAAAATCTGGCATTTGTCAACATTAATCTCATTGACCGTAAGTTACCCGAACCTACTATAGTTGTGTATAAAACATTAAGTTTTGTGAGTCTACATACATTACTTGTTAGTAAAGATGCATAGATGCTAGCAGAGGAATCCAGGACGCGAGATTCATCTTATTTGGCACTCATCAGTTGAATGTACTTGCTGTGGGACTCGAGCCCTATACCGTTCGCTTTAAACACCATCGTGTTATCCACCCAGCTGTTGAGTCCTCATATCCACTAGTTTGTGCGATGGGGTGGAGTTAAAATTTACTTGGTATAGTTTACTTGAATCTTCCTATTGATGTTTACGACTGCAGTTGATCAGTTTCCACTCTGAGATGCAAGTATATCCATCTGACAAGTCTCAAATAGGATGAAAAGCGCGTCCTTTATTCCACTGCTAGCCACTATCTATCTTTGTCTAGAATGCTTGTGAATTAAGAGAATTTCGAGGCAGTACGCACATATGCCACTACTAGACTGATCAATCACAGTGCTAAACAACAATTGGAAGATTGAAGTAAACACTACCAAGTGAATGTTACTTGATAGTGCTTTAAGATATGTATCAAATTGTGAGATGGAGCCATTTTTAACATGTATGGTTCAATATCCTTGACTACTCAAAAATAAAATTTTTGTTAATTGATAGCAGCCAAGATTTAATGATTATGCGAACAGAATATCGAAATTCTTCTATTCACTATAACCATTTTACAAGCCACATGAAAAGTCAAACGACAATAAAAAAGCATTCAAAGTAGTATGATGTGTTACGGATTTAGTCCTAAAAATATGACTTAGGTAGTCACGGTTGAGAATAATCGAAAAGGGTTAAACCGTCATCACAGTTATATTTTAATTTTTAATTGGTAACACCAATGGAATCCTTTTCCTTAGTAATACAGTAGATCATATATTTAGTCATCGTTGTATTTAACAAAGAATTTGAAATAACAAACTTTCTTATCAAAGTCTAAACACATTTTTTATTCACGTGGATACGTCGTGAAATCTCTAGCTACAACAGTGAAAATGATATATTAGTTTGATAGACTTTGCGGTAGAACATTGCAACGAATACATCGAAATCACATTACAGAGTTCAAAGAAAATTTGATGTTTGGTTGGATTGAACTGAAGACAGGTTATTCATGTTTACCATAGTGGATTGGATTCACCTGAACTCCATATATATATATACCACTAAAGTGATATTTCTCCATGTATTTCTTCAATACACACTTCGTCTTATTCAGGATTTCTTACTCTGGTTTGGGTTATAGGTTATAATTAAAAGTAGCCAATCATTTTTAGCTTACTATAAATTGAGTTCTGCAAGTTTCTTCACAATCTTAATTTTATTTTATATAGGTCTTTCAACGTCAAGTTCTAGAGTGCATACATAATAATTTTAATAGATTCAAAAACAATGAATGTAATGAAAGAAATTCGATATAGGATATATGATTGAAGTTCTTACTGTAACGGCAAGAATATCCTTTGCGATATTTATTGAAAATAAAGGTGAACGTCCAGTTTGAGTTAATATTGGTAGAAATAGATTGGTAAGACTGTTATTCATTTGACTTCGATTTTGTCCATTTGTATTATTTGTCACCATCGAAAGTGATGGTAATAGTTGCCATCCACCAAAATACATATCTATCAAGTGATGACGACTATCACGCGTTGTGTTTGAATTTCGACTATTTACGCAAGATTTGTAAAATGCTCGAGCTGATTGTAAGCGCCAATCTTCTTTATCGTAGGAGTCGTTAGCTTGAAAGTATTGTAAATTATTGACATCAAATTATGAAGAATAAACAAAGAATATTTGATTCAAGCGAACGAACGATTTATTATGAGACATTAATACCCAGATCTTCTATCCTCTTATAACCATTCTTAAGATATTTAATGTTTGGTCTTAGTTAAATGACTGTATTCTTATTTAATTTGTTTGATAAATTGTCGTAAATTTGAATCTCAAAAAGACTAGGGAATTCTGATGTTAGGTGAATGGAAGAAGATTACAGAAGGCCTTAGCAGTCATTCGTCAGCACTGCATGAATCCAACCTTGAAGAACTGATGTACTTCAAGGAAGTCAATATTGAGTCACTTGTACTGGTAACTACGTTGCATGTTCACAGAATTAAGTGAGCTTTCGTTACAGAAGCTGTGCAGAATTAACTAGAACAGTGTGGCCTGGTATTATTTATATCTTAGTCTTACTAAAGGCCATACTTCATCTGAATATCTTCAGCGTAACGTCGCTTACTATCTAACATGGTCCAAAGTTTCCGTATCTCATGTGGATCATCAATTCGAAATAGATTCTAATTCTACTTCGTTGATAAGTGCAAATGGTACGTGAACAATTAGTTTAATAGAAAACATTTCTGTTATCGAATAAGATTACATAATATACGATTTTATTCAGCTTTTTAAACATATCTCGCAGTTAGATGTTCTGTTATCTATGTGATACCGTGTTGAAAGTGTTAGACGGTATTTCCGGAATTAATGCAGTATCATTATTTATTCGTATATCGCATTCAGTAAAAGGGATTAAATAGGGGGTTCTCTTTCAAAGCAAAAGTTGTTTATTTAAGATTTTCGATTACCTATATGTTAAGTGACTGAAATTTTGTTTGAGTTAGTTTACAGATACTTCAGTTTGGTTGACGCATGGCTGTCTACCTAGCTGCACGGATTCTGCAACACAATTTTATCTCTAAACAATTTGCTACTGTTTGTATGAGATTTTAATTTTAGAGAAATGTTTATAATATCAAAATCAGCACAGATTATATCATGATAACAATATTTTACTATGACTTACCAATTATCTTCCAGAAGTAGTTATCAACGTTTATTCCCATCTGCTGCATAGTGCTTGAACTAGCACTATCATCTGACAAAGGATTACGTTTTTCCCACTCTCCACATGCAGTTTCGTAAAAATCAATACAATGATTCGAGATATGTGAGTCATTGGTATATATTTGAATAGTCTCTTCCAATTCATTCGTTGCTACAAAAAAATGTGTAAGCAATAAAATTGACTACTGAGACGAGGATTTGAGGATTATAAATGACAGACAGTTTCAGAACGATTAAGTGTAAGATGGTTGCCTTAAACATTTGACCATTACTGTTGTGAGGAAAAAGACCTTCGTTTTTTAATTACAATTGTATGTTATTATAAATAAGTAAGATTGATTCATTAAGTAGATGACTTTGACACTGAACTATTTCTATAGCTTATGCCATTACTCGTATTCAGTTAGTCGGTTTACTATTCATCCTCGGATATCTCCGTTAGAAAGGTGGGTTTCTGCTACAAATTAATCGACCTAATGCGAAGTGAAAGCATGGACACGGTTGATGCTGTTTATGACATTGAAGTTATTCAACGAAAGATAGCTTATTAGGTGATTTACTACTCCGGGATAGTTTATTCTGAATTCTTGATTAATAGAAGTTTGGATATATTGGTGTGACATGATTCAGAATCGGTCAGAATGTCAAGGCCACATTCGTTATTCATCTTCCTCTTGATTTCGAATCAAAGCATCCGTTTCATGCGTACGGTTTTGGTTATCATTATTCATAGATTATTTCGATTCTTTTGCTATTCATTTTGTCAACTAAACATTCTTGTGGTATTAAGGTCAGACTTTCTAACTCCCATGGTAGAGTTTATATGGTTTGAACTATTGTTTCTGGTTAGCGCGTCTTTAGCTAGTTAGTTTTCTACGGGATTATGTCGCTACCAATGTAGAGGGGCTCCAGGCAGAGTTTATAATCAGTATAAGAGATATTAATGTGGAGATTCGGTCGCTGAATCAACCCTAATGGTTCATTTCAGTATTCGGTCTACAAAATCTTTCGTTTGATCAAAAATTGACTAACCAGTGTCAGGTGTTTCCGTAGTCCATGTGGTTTCATTTGTTCCGACGAATTCTGAAATGAGACAATATAAGACACTGATAAGCTCTATCATCATAAACTTTAGTATATGTTGACCAGGGAAAATTCCCGATGACGTCAAAATCACATATTATTGAGACAATCAATAAACATCGAATTACACAACACGGTTAGTGATATTGTGATTTCTCAAACTGATCGAATATTAGGTCAGAAAAGAGATTATGATTTTTGTTAGAACTATCTTGGGATCTATTATTCCATGATCGGGCTGATCAATATAACACTCTATTAACATACTGTGATATTTATTTATTTCCTGTATATTTTATGATGATAAATGTAAGTGCTTCACATTGATATGTGTATTTTTATTTAATTGAGTTCAGATAATGAATGTTAGTTTTAAAATTTTATTTCGTACCTTCATATTAGTGTCTTATTAATTCACTTAATTCTCTATAAAATTTTTATAGTATTGTAGTAAATGTAGGGAAAATGACCTAAGATTTTTAATTACAATTGGATGTTAATATAAATAAATGAGATCAGCATTCTGCAACCCACTCTCTCCTGGGTCTTCCTTTCAAGTTGTAGCGAATTGTTGTTCAGTGTTATCATGTCTGTCTCCATTTCTCGGCCTAATGTGTTCCTCGGTCTTTCTCCTCTCTTTAAGCTTTGAATATTAGAAATTAAATACTATATTTGTTAAATGTTAATTGATTGTCTCAAACTTGACTGTTCCTTGATTTTCACAGTAATCATTCACTGTGTTCTTCCTCTTTTCTTCGACCTTCTTAACCTTCTGCTGCCATAAGCTACTTTGTTTCATAATGATTTGTGTCTAGCTTGTTTTTTGTCGGAATACATTATGAATTATGCGATCATTATCGTTCCCGTCTCATTGTTACTGATTATGTATTAGCTTTGTCTAATTGTCAAGTGATAATATTCTACTAATATTATTATTTTAAGATAATTTTTAAGGTGTTTACAAATATCCTTTAAAAGCCTTGACAACAAAACTTATTGCTTAGTAAACAATAAGCGAATTATATTTATACATGTTTTATCTCAGAATACGGTTTAAAACTTTTATTTTGTTTACCGATCTTTTGAAATAAATTCAGGAATCTAATGGTTCATACGAATTTACGAAAGGTCATGATTAAATTGATTAAGATTAATAAATAATGAATCTATGGAAAATATGAGAAAGGAAACTATTTGTGAAGAAATAAATGATTAAAATTAGATAAGTTGAAAACTGTTCATGATCTAAGTTGGTGATCCCCTGCTACTAGACACGGAAGCCTGTTAAGCGAAAGCTTCTTCTATTCCGTCCACAACCATTTGAACCATTTAAGTTGTGTATATTTCAAAGAAAACTATTAAAATTATTCAATGTAAAGTTAGAGTATAATTGTTCACATTGAGAACATGATGTGTTTGGATCTGAGGTATTTTCAGTTTTTGGAACACAGATTTACAAGTCATATCAAATTTGTACCAACTGTTCCTAAACTTGCAGAGAATGAAATGGGTTTTGAATAGGGTATCCCATATGTTTTGCATTCGTGTGAAATGAACAATGTTAATGTAAAAATAAGGGACTACGATTACCAACCTGAATTTCATCATGACCAAATTATACTCATAGAGATATAATATGAATAAATATTACTATAAAGTAATATTTTTATGCGATTGATAAACCTTAGACTGATATCATTGAAAAAACTCCTGTGCGTTTTATTACTTTTAACGTACTCACTGGTACATCGGAATTATGTGATAATGATTGCTTATTCATGAATAGTTTATATTTCCATGAAAGGTTAAATAATCCCATCTTCAGGCATGATTAAAATGTATCAGTTTAAAACGGCTGCAAAATTAGCTCATGTTTATGGTAAATAAATCAAAAATTGTTTTATTGCGTCAGACATAGTGATACACTTTTCTATCTAATGCATTACGAATCAAAGTTTGAATCACGATGGTGAATAATTTCTGATTAACTGCATGATATGAAATCGTTTAGTTCCTTAACTGAACCAGATATCAAAATTAAAGTTTCATCATTATAAATATGATTTTGTGGCCCGAGATCTGACTGCCATAATATCGCATGAATGATTGTTATTGAAGTACACATGTCGTCAATCCTTGTGTATTATCAACGTCTTAAGTGGCGTTAGTGAATAACGTAATTAAATAAGTTAAATACGAGTATGGATTTAAAATATGGGTATTTCATGCACTCATTGATTTGAACAGGCAATCAGGGAATGAACTTAAGAGAAGAGAAGAGAAGAGAGCGAAGCGAAATGACGCACAGTGGAAAAGGCACGTAAGCCGACTCCATTTAACCAAGCGTTAATCAATATTTATAGTCATACAAAATTAAATTACAGACATGTGATGAACGGGATAAGAAGGGCACACACATATGCGTTCATATATAAGCAGTCAAGATCGGTAAGCGAATAATTAACAAAGTCAAAACGTGACTCAACAAGAACGGATAAATTGGCCTGTCCAGAAGCTAGAATGAGGCATATGGGCTTAACATAATAACCGACACTACAACGTTTTCAATAAGTTTTAATTTGAGAAAGGCGTGTTATAATTTTCCAATGAAACTTCACTTTATCACTGGTCAAGATTCCCATTCTAATATTCTTAATCGACATATTCACATGCTTTATTCAACAAATCTTCAGAACGATCATTTAAGCCACTATTCATATTTACAATAATCCTGGAAAATGGTAGTTATTTGACTGCTTAGCCTAATGACGGTATGATGCACTATGCTGTATGAGGTATTGTTTTCATGTACATAAAACATGTAAGTGACTGTGTTAAAAGATACAAAAATATGAAGAGCAATATATCAAACTATTAACATAATTTGTGTATCCAGAGTCGTTGTGAACGAAATTAAATGTGATGAATTTTAATCAAGATGCAATGTCATATATAATTTATCTTACCGTAACAGCAACTCAGAACGTAAAGGATTGCCACTATATCAAATGAAATTATGTTTAATAACCTCGAGAAATCTTACCATATTTCGAAATTCTTCCTACTAGAAAGCCTCCAAACGAAGATGACATCACTTTGTGGATAATGCAAAGGATATGTTTTCAGTACGTTTGTTCTTTTCGTATGATCAGGTTTATATTCTCATATATATATATATATATATATATATATATATATATATATATATATATATATATATATATATATATACAGTCAAAGATTGTTGGTTTGTGAAAACTTGTTATTAGTAGACTGCTGATATTTACACTCATTTTTTTAACTATTATTTCTCTGTGACATTGAAATAACTTTGTTCTAATGAACAAGAAAGGTGAGACATGAATTTATAATTAACTGTTGGTGCTTTAACTTTTTAGAAATTCACCGTACCAGACAAAAATGATTATGTCAGAATTTTATACCAACAAAATGATGGTTATGCTTGATTATTGAAAATGGGGTTGAATTCCTGAACTAAATCTTGTGTTATTCAAATAATTTCTAAAACCCTAGAAGGTTTTTATCATTTCTAATTCTTTAGAGTAATATCAAAACTTGAGACTAAGATCTTAGATTAGTTGAAGGAAATGGGAAGTTCCTAGTTTTTAACACAATAGGATAACGTGAAAGATACTTACATCAGGTCAGCACGAGATTTATCAAGATACCTTGAATAGGGTTACAAATACTATAGTTAACAAATATGTGCCGAAATCTAAGTTTTTCTGCGTCTTCTAGTATGCTTAAGATATATTTGTAGAAAAGTGCTATCTATTTCGTCAATTTTCGAACTTATATAATCATTTTATTATGATTATTAAATTTGGTTTAAGCACATGAATACATTGATGAGATTATTACTCCCTTCTGTGGGTTAAAAATGATGATGTTCTCTATTACTGAGTGTGTTCAAAAATGTTTAAATAAGCAAAAATCATGAGTCCACGTATAAATAATATGTAAATAATTGCAAATAATTCTACAAAGAAACCTGATTTGACATTGCTCCGAATTCCACGTCCCCTGTTTTTGACTTTACAAATACTGGTATAAATTTAGAATAAATTGAGCATTGGCTAGATTGTTATAAATAAATAATATATTTGTAATATCCCAATGAGTAGAAAACTTAGGTTTTCTGACGTTTCGTGACTTAGTGTAGGTCACTTCTTCAGAGAATAAAAATTTATTCTACTGATTGGGATATTACAAATATATTATTTATTTATAACTGGTATAAATTGTTTACTTTGTTTTCAGTATTTTGACTGACGAACAAGATTGAGCCTGATGACCTTCTAAAAATACTACCAGTCTCAATCCACAGTTGGCTATAAGGTTAGGAACAACATTTATTAATAGGGAAATGAACAATAAGAGTGCTTGCCAGAAATAATCATCTAAATCATTAATCTCTATCGTGGAAAACGAATAGCATTCACATAGGTGAGTTATGACACCTCATGATGTGGACCAATATTATTTAGAAGGTTGTAAAAGAATGCTCTTTCAGACAACCGGAGTAAAATCTGATTGAAGTATATGGAACGTCGTGACAGTGTTAGAGATAGGGAGGGCCCATTGAACTAGCTGATGAAGTGAGCAGATACAACTTGACTGTACTCAAAATTAGGATAGCCCGTTGCAGGCAAGCTGAATAGAAAAGTGTGGCTTCATAAATGCTGTTGCTTCATTCAGGTCGCGATCAGGAAGACGACCTACACAAAATGTTTATACTGATACCGTCCAAAAAATCACGATAAGCACTTATAAAATGGTGGAAAGACGAGTAAAACATCATCAATCCAACCTTTTTAAAAAAAGAAATGATGGATTGCAATGAATATCATCCATCGACACACGCAAATCAATGATGGAATTAATGATAATAAGCACCAGTCATAATAGAGGCTACAGTCTGTCCTTGAAAGACGTCTGCGAAAAGATCTGATCATTTTGCTGAGGATTAGAATGTTAATATCGGGATGCACGCCATCCGTGTGAAAACATCATCAGACAATACGGACTTCTAAAAAAGAATAGAGATAATCGGTTGCTAGTGGATCTGCATGTTTCGATCAAATTGGTTATAGTCGACAGCATTTTCTCTCGCAAATGCATGTATGAAGCTGAAAGGATTTTGTCGAACCAAAATGTGAAAAACCATATTAGTGATATCTGTCTGAATGAAAATTTCAGAAAGTTTATAAAGTAAGAAAGAATGACTAGGGTAGCTGACAATTATCCAGATAAGCAACTGATGAAGACCCTATTAAAGATGAGGCTAAAGTAGGTATGAAACATTTGAACAGACAGCATTACGAAGTTTAATACATCCTTCCACCTAAATGCAAACAAGCACAAAATATCCAAGATATCTTAGAGTAGCAAGTTTCAGGCCTAATAAAGCCCATCATAAGAGGAGCGTTGTTGTTATGGAGAACAATCGGAAAGGGATTGAGGAAACAGTAACTGTAACATATTGGAAGAAGACAGGCCACAAGAAGCACTCGTATAATGAATGGATCTCTGTAGATTTCTTCGGTATAATTCAATGCTGAAAAAAGCCAGAATTCAGGAGTTACGAAAAGCGAATTAATAGTAGACGAAGTTAAGACTCTGGATGAGTAGGCGGAAAGGAGCAAACGAGTGAAGAATTGTATTGTTACAATTGACAGACAGTATATCTAATGAAGGTACTGATAAAAATGAGATAATAGCAATTGTACTAGATTATTGTTGTTTTATTAATAATACAAACAGTGAACATTCAGTCTAAGTTCGTTTAAATTATCATGAAAAGATTCCGTCTGTTATGACCTTGATTTGTCTACCCACTTTTTGGTGCGGAGGATACTTGTCTGATCTAGATTAAGACCTTGATGCGTGAGTTCGAGATGGGGTAGAGAGAACAAAACTATTCTGTCACCTGATTGGTGGGCAAGCACACGAATGAGAGAAGACAAGACAACTGGAACACTACTCGATCTATTTTCCTGACCACTGAACTCACTGGATTCACTGAATTCAGATTAGTGTAAAAAGGTACATGAATAAATAAGTGAATAACCCGACCGCAACGTACAATAATTAGGAAAAATACAATTATGTTCAAAGCTGGGAATTAGAGTAGAAAATAGGGTGCAAAATAATATGTTTAAATTACAATAGCTTCGGAACAGAAAAAGGTATGGCATTGAATGATACATCGAACGAAAGCTTATGTTCTGTAGAATAGATTAGGGACAAAAATAAATGTCAGTGTTATACAAGCTTTGAATAAAATGAAATAACGTCCCGAAAAATAGCCTTCGTAGTCTGTCAGGGCTTCTTGTTTCCCGGTTCACATCACCGTCTTTTCATTGTTCAGTATATTTTAGGTTTCTGTGTTTCATTAATTAGATAGTTCGTTTAATAAACAAACATATTTCATGATAATATTGTACACTTTTATTATTCCGTAATGTTCTATTGTAATGATGAGATTTGTCTTTTAAATCTTAGTATTCTTTTGTTCATCAAAGTTTATAAGACCTCATAATTATGTTCAGTTTGATTATTATTATTATTATTATTATTATTATTATTATTATTATTATTATTATTATCATTTAGATCATTACTGATTGATAATGGTATTTCTTTTCATTATTTTGTTTTACAGTATTAGTTACAATCTTTAACTTGATTAAACTTTTATTACGCACTGAATTTGACCTATGTTTAGTTTTCTAAAATCAAATTTCTGATAACAATAATACTGTAAATAAGATAAAAGAATGTAAAATACGTTAGTGA